AGCCCCTTTGAATTGAAGCAGGTACAAAGGGAGAAGTGCTGGGGACCCATTTAGGGGGCTTATTTTTGAAAGTACTGATCTGTGGTGCTCTCTGAGCTTGATAGTTTTCTGGCAGACGTTTCATTACCAAACTAGGTAACATCATCAATGCACTGGTGTTACCTAACTGGGTAATGTAACATCTGCAAGAAAACCACCAAGCTCAGAGACCACCAAAGAGCCCACAGCTTAACCCTGGGCTATAAATATTCTCTTCTATCAGCACTATTTTTCCCCCATCTTCGTTCTTATAATGCAGCGATGGCTAAGCTTTTCAGCACCGAGTGCCCAAAGCATGCGCGCACACATCCCCAAAATGCAATACATGCGCATCCCCTGTGCATGCGCCCAGCCTCCTTGCATGGATATGCATTTCCTGTGCATACACCCCAAACCCCTGCGCATGCATTCCACCCCCTGCATGCAACCCCCCGTGCCTGCATGGCAGAGACCCAAAGACCAGCTGGCGGAAGATGCTCGCACGCATGTGCAGCAGAGCTAAGCTGGGGCGACAGTTTGCATGCCCACAGAGAGGGCTCTGTGTGCCACCTCTGGCACGCATGCCATAGGTTCGCCATTACGGTTATAATCAGGGGTGGGATTCTACCAGTTCGCACCTATTCGCTAGAACCGGTTGTTAACATTCTAAGCAGTTTGGAGAACCGGTTGTTAGAAGAAATTACTGGCCTAATCCTGTAAGGAAGGCAGGAAGGAAACATTCTGGTGTTGCTTACAGAAACTGCCTCTCCGCTAACCCTTATTACATTCTTGGCAGGACTAGACTTCCTGTCTCAGGAACTTCTCTGGAGTTTTTTTTCCCCCTCCTTTGCTGGTACTTTGCTTGTGTGGAGTGACAATTCAAAGTTACAATGGCACTGAAAAGAGTGACTTATGACCATTTTTCACACTTACGACTGTTGCAGCATCCCCACAGTCACGAGAGGCCAGGCAAGGAGAAGCATGCCTCGATGTGAGTGATGTTGAGTTGGCCATGCCCAGCCAGTCACATGACCACCAAGCCATGCCCACAGAACCGGCTGTTAAAAAAATTGAATCCCATCCCTGGTTATAATGATTAGAACTTCTTAGGCTAGAAACTGGGAGATTGTGAGTTCTAGTTCCACTTTAGGGATGAAGCCAACTGTGTGACTTTGGGCTAGTTGTCTCTCTCCACCCTAGAAAGGAGACAATGACAAACCACTTCTGAAATCTTGTCCAAAAATAGTGCAGGGACATCTCCAGGAAGTCACCAGGAGTTAAAATTAACTTGTGGCTCCCTTTACCCACCTCCCCAAAAAATCAAGATGCATCCTTACCTATATTGCATCATTAGCTTCCCAAAAATGATTAATTACTTCTATGCAGGTTTTGTTTTGACCAATCTCTGCTGAACAAGTTACATTACATCAGCCCACAAAACGTAGTTTTCAAAGTATGGTTTTGGGTGCATCCATCACACTAAATAAAATGAAAGCAACTGAGTCTCAATCCAAAAGAGGGAATACATCTTTAGTGTAAAGCAGGAGTGGCAAACCAGCATCCTTTTAGGCATTACTGCCCTACAACTCTCAGCAATCCATAGAGAAGGATGCTAGCAGTTGTCATGCAACATTTTGAGAACTTTCAACTGGTCCTACCACTCCCCAAGTTCAACAAATCTTCTCTGCTCTATTTTCTTCCAGCTCAAATAAGTAGCTAAGAGATCCTTTAACTTGTGTTGATTCTTTTTTAAAAAATGATGATGATTAGTTTACCATTTAGCAAGCATAGAAGTCCTCTAATGTTTCAAGGCTGGTAATTTTCCAGAAGCTAAACAATAGTGTTCTATTTTTGGGGGAGGATAGCCTACAGTCTCCTCTTTTATACCTTGCTAGTTTTAAGAATTTTGAAACACTCTGGAAGAAGGATTCAGTTTTGTGTAGCCGTGTTTCTTTTCCCAGTATTTACATCACAAGTCCTTTTTCGTAAGAGCAGTGTTTTAAAATAAATGGCAAAATAATTAAACAGGGAAGGGTCGATTCCAGGGAGATTACCACTGATTTGATAAATAAATTTTAAAAAGGGACATTGACAATAAATTTGTTCACTCTCATTTGTATCTTGCTGAAAAGGTCATTCTGTTTGGGTTTGCCAGACCTGACTTAGTGATTGCTTGTCCCAGTTGAACTCAAGAAACTCCCTTGCATAACTGTCCAGACTGTATCCCACCTTGACTAGCTGTGCAACTTTTTTTAAAACTTCCTAATAAAATGCAAGCCGCATCACCCAATGTTGGCAAGAAGTGAGCAGCAGGATGTCAGAAACACAGAAGAAAAGGCAGAGGATTCGGAAGAAGCTTAAAAGACACATCCCAGAACATACGTGTTTCTAACAGAAGAAAGAAGGATGGCCCATAGCAGAAGGAAGGAACTATTTAAGAACTGCGTATAAACAAAATGGGCAGAAGAAAAGTTAAAATTAGATTGTACTCGGGATGATGCATATTTCTTCTGCCTGTAAACAAAGTGGAGACTCCACGTTGCTAAATTCAAAAGAGGTTTAGAGCTGTGCAAAAACCTTTGAGGGGGATGTCTATGTTGGTCTGAATGAACCTTCCCTCCTCCGAGAATTAAAGCATATTTTTGGGAAGACTTCCATATGGATGTGTGCACACAAAATACTTCCAGTGAAGCAAAGCAGGTTGTACCACATGCAGTTCTAGAGACAGTCTTTAAAGCAGATGTGTATCTTCCAAAAAATGTGACTGCTCATATCAGAGAAAGTAATTGAATGGTAGATAATATTTTAAGGCTGGAATCCTAATGTACTCGAATGCTGAGAGTTTTCCCAAGTAGAAGGAAGGACAAGGAATTGAGTCAAAAGCCTACCTGCTTGTGAACACGAAGATGAGGCTCATGGATAAGAATCAATCTGAGGGAAGGGAAGTAATTTGTTGCAAATCAGAATGGCTTGGGAGTGTTAGCTCCCAGTGGACCTTATCTGACATTCTTCCTAAAGCAAAGGTGTCCATGCTGGATGTTGAATTCTGGGATTCGGAGTCCACCAGGCTTAAAGTTGCCCAGGTTGGACATCCTGCCCTAAAGCATCTCTGTATTGTTGCTAAGCTTGGTGCTATCTCAAACCTGCAGATAATCTTCATGGTCATTGTTGTCATTGGTACATTGAGGACCATGGTATCATGGCATGCCCCTCATATTTTGAATCCAGTCCAGCTGTGGTTGAATTTTTTGTGTGTGTCTGCATTTGAAGGACATGAAAATTGGATATTAGCAGAACCAAAGTTCTGGTTGGATGAAGGTCAGCCAGAATCAATTTCTCCAAAGAAGTTTATAGATGTAGGAATAGCAAAATTCAGTCTACCAGATTTATTGCATTACAGTTCATAGTTTTCCTCACAACTGACCAGGCCATAAGTTTGAATGTACTTATTAAATATTAATTATTCTTGAATCTCCATAATGATCAGGCTCTCATCCTCTTCTGCCATCAATCATTGTCTTGTGTCCCAAACTTTAGCATGTGAATAGGATTGCTCATTAAGGGTTTTTTTTTTTCTGACAGAAGAGACAAGCCATTTAGCTGCGTGATACGGTATAGTTACATTTTAAATACTGTGGTGAAAATGCTTCAGAATTCACCAGGGCAAAGGCTATCATTCCAAGCTGTAGCGAAGGATGTTTTAATTAAAAAAAACATGCATAATATTTGAAACAAAGAACAAGAGCACCACTAAACTCAAGCTACTTACAGTATGTTCTCTTTCCCTCAATAAATTATCACTCGCTGAACCATCTTGTATTTATTGTAAGCGGCTATACTATATTGGACAATCAGGCATTCTGTGGGAGATCAGCTAAGGTTTTCTTCACCTTGGCAGTGTTACAGGGGGTCATGCTGTCAGATGAGTGACTGGGTCTGGAATGATTTACGGTGGAATTTCTCAAAATCATTGGGAACAAAAAGGGCTTTCTTTAAGGTCAAATATGTCCAACTGCTGTGTTTGCCAATTCTACCCATACCCACCCATCTTGGCTTTGGAGAATATTAACAAAGTATTTTTGAGCAACAAAAAGATTTTTTGCTTTATTTTTGTTTGTTTGTTTGTTTGGTTATAATCAATGACAGAGACTGTTGGGGATACAAAGTTAAATTCTGGTTAAAATAAATGAACAAATGTGTCTAAAGCTATAGGCTTTATGTCTGACACACTTGTTGCCTGCTCAAAATTCTTGAATATGTAAGATAAACCTATGGTTTGTCATGGTAAAGAGTGGCTTGGGACAAGCATAGTTTTGGATATTATGGTTTTGGATGCTAGCTTATCAGCTTATGTCCACTAATTTTTTATCAGCATCAAGCCATAACAAACATTAGATTGCATTTTCCTAAGAATTAAATTTAGGAACAGGCAGGCTTATTTATGGTTGGTAATTGTTGACACCATCTTGATGGCACATAATCAATCAATCGATCAATTAATCAATCTTATTTAGAAGATGGAAACTCAGCCTCAAATATCTCTCAGTTTCATATGGACTATGGGTCTCCTTGCCATTGTTCAAAAGCTTCGTTGTTCAACTTGATGTTCCTCAAGAAAATACTAACCTTTTCATTGTAATATAGCCATATATTCTGCTAAGTCATAGCAAGTTTCTTTGTGGCTACCCATGATAAATGGCTTAGAACAGGGGTGTCAAACTCACATCGTCACGCCAGTATCACGTGATGTATCATGACTTTCCCCCCTTCGCTAAACCAAGTGTGGGTGTGGCCAGTGTGTGACATATCTGGCTCACAGGATGGGAGTTTGAACTCTGGCTTAGCATGTAAACCAAGTGTGGCTTCTTCAATAATCATGGTTAATGAAATCATGTCAACCAGCCACTACAAGATGGTCAAATATGCTTTATTCTTTTGACCTAGTGCTATCTCTTTAGCAAGTGAGGGAATTTACATGAAAGATGGTGAACATGTCAGATTTTCATTGTAAAGACTCAGAATCATGATAGCTTTTCTGCTTATCTTTTGGCTGTCTTTGCCATTTGACTTTCTCCTGTTGAGTAACTCTCAGCTAGTTGTTGTTTTTTCCCCCTCCAATTAGGAGTTGCTGCCGTAGGAGCAACCAAGAGGTTACAAATAAAATTAGAAAAAGAGATTGCATATTTTTTTCCTTTGCTTCAACACGGTATGTTTTCACTAAAAGGCTGTTGTTGGGTTAGCCAAGTTTTCTCATGCTTCCTTAGCATCTCCTTACATAACCCATGACCTTGAAAAGAAACATCTGAACCAGTTGGTCCATCTCATATTTCTGTTTTCAGAATCCCACTTATTTTGCATTGCTGCCCTTGCCCTACGCTCTGGAAATGTCAGGTTTTCTCAGACTAGTTTAGCATTCTGACCAAGATGACCGTCTTCCTTTGAGAAAGTTCTTCTGAATGTTAATTAGACTCTCCTTTGGCCGGGTCTAAAGTCTTGGCCAAAGAAGTCATTTAGCTACAAGATTAAAATTCTCTTTAGAACACTTTTTTATGGTCTCCCTGATGTATTTCTGACTGTACATTGTTTTGTCCTTGGCGAGAGCAGGAAAAATTTATTATGTACAGTATTTTCTTATTTATTGCTGACCTGGGATTTCCCTTCAAAAAGTATCAGTGGTTATCGGTCATTTACAATGGCCATCAATTGTACTTCACAGACAGTGGTATAAAGAATGTGTACATTTAAGAGTCAGCTGTATTTTTATGAATTTGAGCTGTAACATCTGTTACCCAAATCCATTTAGGGGCATTTGTCAGGATTCCAGCAGTTCCTCCAATTAAATCATGAGTCTTGAGCCAAAATTCCAAAACTTCAAAAGGATTTGTTGGGAGTTTACATGTCCGGCACTGCCTGGATGTAGCCGACTCTGAGACACATCATTCATTGTCACCCTTGACTCTGGTTTCCCCCCACCCCCTGGGTGTATCATAATTCATATTCTCCAATGGGACACATCCATAGCCAAGAGTCATGAATCATGTTCTCCAGTTAGATATTTGCATGGCAGAAACTTCAGTCACCCAGTTACTACCTCTGAAAAATTATTTATGGAATGCACTTTTGATTTCCAAGCTGCCACACTGCTCTTTCAAACCCCATTTCCGCCCCCTCCCTTTCCATTGGCAACTGTAAAAAGACCATAGAAATATTTTATGAGTTGACATGGACTTTTCCATGGTGGCCCCAAAGAGGTTTCATTCCTTAGCTGTGGCGTTTAACCAAGACTTGGAAACCCAGTTTACAAGAGGTTTGGATTGAAAGAATGAGATAACCCTCAACTTATTTCTAAATGGTATTCTTACCATGGCTTAAATTGTCTTTAAATAACTGTACTCCTGGGTTTTGAGGTTTTTTAATTATTACTTTAATAATTTGGATTTCTTAGACAATTTAGTTTTATGGATTCAAGTTTTAGGGGGTGATGGCTTAGTGGTCCCCTACAATATTTGTTTATTCTTCTTCAAATAGTTTAGGAAAAGTGGGTTTTGGAACCACCAGTTCTTTACTTGCACTGAGTAAAAGACGACTAGGTTGCCAGCATAATCCTATTTTCATCTCTAACACGTTGAAGGGGAAATAATTCAGTCTAACACTTGCATATAAAGGTCTTACATGGAGCATGCAAGCAAATGAGCAGAATGCTTTATTGGCTTGGGATAATGTCTAAGACATCTGAATTTGCCAAGTTTCAGAAGGCTGTTGTTGGCACAAATGATGACCAGGGACAGACGCAGCCGTAAAAATGAGATAAACATAATAGGTTACACATTACACTAAGAGGCAGACAACCTTTTGATAGTTATACCCACAGGGGGTTTATTTCTTTTTGACACAGGATGGTAGAGCATGCCACTAGGTTTTTTTTTAACTAATCTGGCCTGCCATTATGTGTAAATTTGGCCAACAAAATCCTATAAAGAAGTGAAATTGGAAGTCAAGCTTTCCTTGTGTCCAACTCAAGTGCTGACAATGATGCAACACAGAATTAACAGAATAACAGAGTTGGAAGGGAATTTGGAGGTCTTCAAATCCAACCCCTTGCTCAAAAAAGGAGACCCTGGTCTATTCCATTCCAGAGTAGTGGCTGCCAAGTCTCTTTTTAAAAACCTCCAGTGGTGGAGTACTTATTACTTCTGAAGGGAAGCCGTTCCACTGGTTAATTATTCTCACTCTTAGGAAATTTCCCCTTAGTTCTAAGTTGCTTCCCTCCTTAAGTAGTTTCCACCCACTTTTTCTTGACTTGCCTTCTGATGCTTTGGCAAACAGGTTGACCTTCCCTTTCTTCATTGTGGCAGCCCCTCAAATATTGGAACACTGCTGTCATGTCACCCCTACTCCTTCTTTAACTAGACACGCCCAATTCCTGCATCTGTTCTTCATCCCTTAGTGTTTCCTCAGCTGCAATAGAGAAGTCATTGTCACGTTCCAAAATGATCTCCTGTCCAAGTAGTGCCAAGATTTTTCAAGGTCAGCCAAGGTCTACTTGGTGTAGACCAGAGGGGGTATTCAGCCGGTTCTGACCAGTTCTGGAGAACCGGTAGCGGATACTTCGAGTAGTTTGGAGAACTGGCAAGTAGCACCTCTGACTGACTGGCCCCATCCCCATCTATGCTCTGCCTCCCATTGAGTCCCAGTTGATCGGCTGGGTCTTCTTTGGTTGCCCTGCACAGGAGAACGGAGCTGGAAAGCAGGTCTTTGGTTGCCCTGCACAGGAGAACGGAGCTGGAAAGCAGGTTAGTGGGGTAAGGAGGGAAGGGGGATTTTGCAGTATCCTTCCCCTGCCACGCCTACTAAGCCACGCCCACAGAACTGGTAGTAAAAATTTTTTGAATCCCAACACTGGTGCAGACTGTGAATATTATAACCATATCTTTTCACCTTTTGTCTCTTTTAGGTAATATTATTGGTTCGGGCATTTTTATTTCACCGAAAGGAGTTCTTGAGCATTCTGGGTCAGTGGGACTCGCACTCATAATATGGATACTTGGAGGTGGGATCTCAGCGCTTGGGTCCCTCTGTTACGCTGAATTGGGAGTTACCATCCCTAAATCAGGAGGCGACTACTCCTACGTCACTGAGATTTTCGGTGGATTAGCTGGGTAAGTGTGACTTCAGGATTAGGGTGGATAGCAATTTTGCACGAGGGTTTAAACCAGGGGTGTCCAACCTTGGCAACTTTAAGACTTGTGGACTTCAACTCCCAGAATTCCTCAGCCAGCAAAGCTGGCTGAGGCATGCTGGGAGTTGAAGTCCACACGTCTTAAAGTTGCCAAGGTTGGACACCCCTGGTTTAAAATCACAGCCGTGCATTTTATTTCATCAGTTCTTCCCACAGAGGAGGTCTGAGCCCTAACATGCCCGCGAAGTGTAATATTTCTCAAATAGAACTAGCAACTGACTTGGGACGGAGTCCTTATTTGACCTTGGAACTCACTGGTTGCTTCAAACATCCGCCCCCAAAACGATCTCTTTCATGGGGTTATGGTCATCGGAACGAAATTAGGGAAGACCCCCCACAAACACAACTTAGGTTTTCATTAAAAAAAAAAAAAAGGCAAGGTGGAGATGAAATAAATACATTGCGGTGTCTTATATTGTATCCTCTGTTGCTTTTCTTTCTTTTTTTGTAAAGTTTTTTTTTTTTAATTTTTAAACATACATCGATATCATTGCATGGACAGTGTGTCATTCATTTTGATAGGAAAACAGAATTGATACAAATGAAAATCACTACATTCATCACACTTATATAACTTCTAATGTTATTATACATATTTATATCAGCACATAATCCTTCTTTTTTAATTATTCAATATTTGCCACATCCTTCTAATAGTAATAACATTATTCGTGAGCATACCTGATAACATCCTTTTTCAAAATCTGATTTTAACCTCTAACGTTCTCTTTAACTGCATTATGCAAAAATATGTATAACAATATTCCCCCTATAATCTGTTGCTTTTCTTAAAAGATCCATATATGTAGGAGAAAAACTGGCAGAGCTGGGGAGAGGTGGAATTAAGTGAATCATCAGCCTGGAGTCATTACATTCCCACAAATGGTCCAAGTCCTCTTGAATTCCATTGACCTTTTCTGGCAAAAATTTACTACTGAATTTTAGTTGACTATATTCTAGGGTATACGCTTGAGCAATAAATCTTCTGAACTACAATTTAACGTGTGGTCGTGAGTCTTTATGCCTGACAATATGGCAAAAACCCGGCTAACTGTTACTGAGTAGAGGCATCTGTAAGGGGCATTTGAACCAGTGGTATTTGAACCATTCCCCACTTCTTTCAAACTTAAATTCCAATTTCACAGCAACTTTTTGAGGGACCCCAGGATCAGGGCTCTCCAGCTGAGGACCCAGACTTTAAACTTAACTTTTTATGGCCCATGGTTCAGTAGCATCCCCCAGCCACCCATTTTTTAAAAGAAGACCATTTATTGAATTGCTATCTGATGGACTGTGCAAGATTGCTACAGCAGAGTCGGAATGCTGGTTTTGTGCAGAGAAGCATAAAACATCTGCATAAAAATTGGATTTTGGCAGGAAGGGAGAGCAGGTCTGTGCTGATAGATAAGCAGGACCTAACTTGTATTTATAGGGGCACAATGAGCCAGATTGCTTTTGGGGAAGATTGCTTGTGAGCTCCGGGATTAAATGACAAAATGCAACAAAAAAGGAAAGTTTTATTCCTGCAACATCTGATAAATTCCAAAGCTCAGACTTGTCTAGAAATCAATGTTTATTGTAGCAAAGGAAGGGACCGAATCAAGAGTTTTAAATGGAGATATAAAAACTGAAATCTGCGGCATTGAAAATTCAGCTTTATGGAGGAATTAACTCCCATCCTTCAGCCAAACATAATTCAAGTGGGAGATCCCTTAATCTTGCCTTTCTTTACAAGGCTGTGTTTTTATTGCAGTGCAAGACTCAAATCTATTTTCAACAAGAGCTATAGTTGCTCTTGGGGGAGGCAAGCATTTTCTCCTAGTCAAATGGGCTTTGCAGGTTTTTAAACGCTTCAGAAATATCAATCATCTTTTCAAAACTTGAAAGAAGTAATACAGAGAAACACGGGGCCTAATAAAAGGGGGAAACTTTTCCATTTGGTTTGTAAATGAGCTAAGAAAATGTGTAACTTGGAGGCAACTATGTTAATCTTAGGAGACTCGGTCCAGATTCAAGGAATAATAAATGAGAAAACCTGGTGGTTTATTTATTATTCATTGGTTACTGCCTCTGAATAAGAACGTTCCACTAATATTAACAGATTTATCCTCTGTGAAAAGGTCTAATGTTTTTGTTGTGGTTGTTACCAGCCTACTAAGTTACTGGCCTTCACCATCACGCCTGACAGAATAACAGAATAATACACGAATGAAGGCAAATATATGTGTCCCAGGATTGTTGCAGGATCTAAACTGGGACCAAAAGTTTTATCTTCTTTCAAACTCTTGCAGGAGTCCACCCTTAGTGTTCTGACCCACGCCCTTTTCCAATAAATCAAACACAATTCAAAAGGAACAGAAATCTTGTAATGCTTTTACAAAATAATTAGCTGTGATAAGCACAAGCCTTGCCAAACTGTGAGAGACTTGCCAAAAGATAACAGACAGGGAATAATTTGCAAAATAAGAATCTTCAAATACAAACTCAGGATAATGGAACGTCCACGAGGCTGGAGTTTCAAAACGTCTTTGTCTTCTGCAAAGACGGTTAGTTTCACAACTGGCTTTTATCTTCTTGAAGGAGGGGCCATTAACTTGCAGCCTTACTCCCGAGTCACCCGTGCTGCTGCAGCTGCTCTTTCCTGCAAGCAAACCTGCGCGCGCGCGCACTTGGCACAGGCGCCTCGGGAACTTCCTCATCGCTGCTGCCAGCCCCCACAATCTCTGAAGGCAGCAGTCCATTCCCTAATGGTCCTGGCCCCTCATCTGAGTCCTGGCTCTCCTCAGCCGTCTGCACCTGCTGCTGGCTAACCACAACACTTAGATAACTTCTGTCTAGCCGCTTGTCAAGATATTCTGTGAAGATGGGCTCCAGCACAAGTCCAAAAGCTTGGAAGACAAAACCTCTGGTCCAGGTGACCGACCCAGATTGGCTCCTGCAGAAGAACAGAGTTGGAAGAGACCTTGGAGGTCTACCAGTCCAACCCCCCGCCCAAGCAAGAAACCCTATACCATTTCAGACAATCTTGCAATAGCAAATTCCCAAAGCGAAGTGCAAATTTCTGCTCTCCCTGCGATGGACAATGGAAGGAATAATTCAACCACTGTCCATCTTTCAGGTGACCAGTAGAGAAAATATGGCAACAATAGGAAATGTAGGGATTTCTTATCAATAACCACAGGCATGTAACCGATCCAGAGAAATGATCCAATTGCAACAGCGGGCACCGGCAGAGGGAAAGGAGGTCAAGGGGTTGCTGCAGAATTCTGTTAGTTGGATGGCCAACATATACAAAATAATAATAATAATAATAATAATAATAATAACAACAACAACAACAACAACAACAACAATACCAATAGTAATAGGGTGGAGTCCCAAAACAACTGGAGCACCATTTGAACACCATAGGCATTGACAAATTTGCCATCAGTCAATTGCAGAAGGCAGCTTTTCTTGGAACAGCTTCCATCCTGTGGTGATATCTGTAACTCCATCAAACATCCAGATTTGCCTATCCCAGGTCCTTGGTAAAGACTTGATAGGTAGACAAAAATACCAAACCCAGTCTGAACATCTGGCTGACTGTGCGATGGATAATAACAACAACAATAACAACAATAATAACAACAATAACAATAGGTTCAAAGTCCTGCCCTTTTTATGAGCATTGTGGCATGTGCAAAAAAGTGGGGGGGATGGGTTATTGACTGTATAGTTGCAACACTACATTACCTCTCCCATTGGCTCCCCAGTTCAGTGGTCTCCAGTGGCTAACCCCTGTTCCTCAGTCCTAGCAAATGATCTTTTCTGATGTCTTTTGAGAACATGTCCCTCACATGTTGCTCTGCTGTGTTGTTTTTCAGTAGGTTTATGGAGCGTTCAGAGTCCCCATTTAATCATGCTGGTGGGAAGGACAGTATCAGGTGTGAAGGATCAGGACCATACAGTGCCAAGTTGCTGTTAAGAAGATTTATTGCTCAATCCTATATGTAAAAATTTAGTCATCTAAATTCAACACTAAATTGATGCTAAATAAAGAGTTGGTGGAATTCAAGAGGGGTTAGACTTAGAATCTTTGTGGGAATTCAAGGGTTCTAGGCTGCTGACTCGCTTAACTCTGCCTCCTGGTTTTGACTGCCCTGCGCCTTCAGACAGTGGGTTGAAATCAAATGAGAAGCAGGATCCCCCTCTACTCCTTTCTTCTCAAATCTTTCTCTACAATACTTGGCCTACACATGCTTGTTCTGCCCAGCAGACTAGCCTGAACGAGATATCTTGAATTGTTTCTATTGGTTGCAGATTTCTGCTGCTATGGAGCACAGTGCTTATCATGTACCCAACTAGCCTGGCTGTTATTGCTTTGACTTTTTCTAACTATGTGCTACAACCAATGTTTCCCAATTGCATCCCGCCCTACAAAGCTTCACGAGTCCTTTCCATGGTGTGTTTATGTAAGTATGGATTTATCATTTGCACCAAGACAAATTCCTTGTGTGTCCAATGACACTTGGCCAATAAAGAATTCTATCATTGGTTTTCTTTATCCTGTAAGGTTATGATTGGACTCAGAGCTATCAAAGGAAACTACTTGCCTCTGAGTCAGTTTATTTTATTTATTTATTTCATTAATTTTATTTGTCAAACATTTACAATGCAATAGAAATAAGAATAAACATAAGTTTAAATACATGAAATAGGAACTAATAATTGGGGACAATAGGACAGGGATGGTAGGCACGATTGTGCGCTTATGCACGCCCCTTGCAGACCTCTTAGGAATGGGATGAGGTCAATCGAGGTTAGTTTGAGGGTAAAGGAGTAGGGGTTTGAGCAGGTGACAATAGAGTAAGGTAGCAAGTTCCAGACATTGACCACTCTTGCTGAAATTGTATTTCCTGCAATCAAGTTTGGTGTCAGGGTTCTGGCAGTTACCCCATTTAAATCATGAGTCTCAAGCCAACTTCTGAAGTTTTAAGATTTATTAAGAGTAAACATCCCAGCACTGCCTGGGTGTAGCTGACTCTGAGACACATCATTCATTGTCACCCTTGACCCTGGTTTTCCCCCACCCCCTGGGTGTATCATAATTCATATTCTCCAATGGGACACATCCATAGCCAAGAGTCATCAATCATGCTCTCCAGTTAGAATTTTGCACGGCAGAAACTTCGGTCACCTAAAAACTATCTTTGAAAACATTTATGGAATGCAAGCTTCCCACTGCTCCCCCCTCCCTTTCTGCTGGCAACTCTAAAAAGACCTTAGAAATATTTTATGAGTTGACATTTGGAGTGGTTTACATAAAGTTTATATCTGTTGTGCGCACTTGTGTTGTTGTGGTTAAAGCTGGAATATTCATTAACTGGTAAGACATTGTAACATATAATTTTATGTACTATGCCAATCTTAGCTGGCATAGTTCAAGGTTGTCTAAGCCTAGAATTTCAAGTCCGGTGGTGTAGGGTATTCTGTTGTGAACAGAGGAGTGTAGTGCTCTTCTTGTAAAATACTTCTGGACTCACTCAATTGTATTAATGTCTGATATACAGTGCGGATTCCAGACAGTGGAGCTATATTCAAGTGTTGGTCTAGCAAAGGTTTTGTATGCTCTAGTTTGTAAATCAGTATTACCGGAGAAGCTTTGTAAGATTAGATTTACAACTCTTTTTGGCAATGCTGTTGCAGTGAGCTCTGGTGTTATTGTGAGTGTTCCAAGTAATACGTCCATAATAAACAGAGCTCCAAGGCAAGAAGGTTCCTCAAAGAAACAGGTTTATTGGATACATCATATTGGCACAGATCTGGTGAAAACCGACTCTGAATATTCCCGCGGTTTTCACCTAATTAAAAGTTTTCCCCATTTCCAAACAGTCAGGCACATGGTCCAATCAACATCCCCCAAACCCCACTCCCTATTTACATGTATTTAGCTAAAAGGGCAGGGTTTCAAGCATGTAGTTGGGGCTGCCACCTTGACTTTTTTTACTCCTCTCTACAGATACCCCTGTTTTTGCTTTCCATTTTGAGGAACTGAACTCTGCTTTCTCATCTCTAGCACTGTTGACTTGGGTGAACAGCTCCAGTGTTCGGTGGGCCACACGAATCCAGGACATCTTCACAGGAGGAAAACTTTTGGCTTTGGCTCTTATCATAACTGTTGGCTTTGTGCAGATCTTCAAAGGTACCGATACAAAACCCCACAGTGTTTAAATGGTCTTCTGCATGAAATCCAACACTTTTTAGAAAACTCTCGCATCCCACTGTTTTTCAAGTGAGTGATATTTAAAAACATCTATGATAAGCTTCATGGTGGGCTCCAAGACTTATCTTGGGCTGTGAACGTCAAGTGTAATCAACAATTGGGAGCAATTTATGTCCCTTGTCAGGATTCTAGCTGTTACCTCCATTTAAATCATGAGTCTCGAACCAAACTTCCAAAACTTTAAAAGGATTTATTGGGAATTAACATGCCGGTACTGCCTGGGTGTAGCCAACCCTGAGACATATAATTCATTGTCACCCTTGACCCTGGTTTTCCCCCCATCCCCTGGGTGTATTGTGATTCATATTCTCCAATGGGACACATCCATAGCCCAGAGTCATCAATCATGCTCTCCAGTTAGAATTTTGCACGGCAGAAACTTCAGTCACCTAGTTACTATCTTTGAAAACATTCATGGAATGCACTTTTGGTTTGCAAGTTGCCGCACTGCTCCTCCCTTTCTGTTGGCAACTCTAAAAAGACTATAGCAATATTTTATGAGTTGACATCCCCAATGCTCTGCTGATCATTCTACCTCCATTCCCATAAAAGGAACAGGACAACTGTGTGATGGAAAAGCTCATAGTTTGATAAATTAGTTTTTTGGAGGCTGTCTTAAAAGTGCTTTTTTTCAAAAGGACTTTGTTTTTCCTTGAAGATGTTTCTCTACTTCAATTATGTGAAGAAGCTTCTTGGGTGAGAAGCAAAACTTCTTCAAGGAAAAACAAAGTCCAGTTACTTTTTGGGGTGAAAAACACCTTTGGGACAACCATGACCTGCATGACTGAGAATCCCCACTTTTTTGGTGGGGGGGAGAATATAACAGCATCTCCTTAGCTGGTCTTGGAAGGAGCTAAGTTGGATCTAAGACTGGCGCTCAATGGGAACTCACCCTCAATCCCAGGGTGATAGGCTAGACTAGGAATTAAAAAGAGGCAAACCACTTTTGTATTGTCAACGTGTTGCAAAGAATATGGTTGTGTGTCCATAAACTCATCCTGGGTTTAATTTGGCTCAACAAGAGTAAAATTGAGGGTAGAGGAAAGAATGAAGGGAAGAAGCAGGTGTCATCATTCAACTAGGACTGCCAAGAGGTTGAATCAGTCACGGGGCAGGGAAGTTTTATTTTAAAAAATGGATTGAACTGTTCTACAGGGGTTCCTCTCCCCACAAATGATGTGATTCCAGAGGATTTTGCTCTAGGAAAAAACAGGGAGATTATAAAAAGCGAGCGGTGCTTTTCATCATTGGAGAAAGCAAGCCATCACCCTTCTTTTGTGGTGCTTCTCCAGGTGTTTCTCCTTTTCTTTCCCCAGCGGTGAGAAAGGCCCTTCAAGGGGAGATCAAGAATGGTTGTGTCCAGATAGCAAGAATGGGGCTTTTTCTTGTAGTCATTCCCTCACGTCTCTGTGTGCTTGAATCAAAACTCAACAAGATGGCTGAAGCTCCATCATGTGAATCCCAGCCTTTTTTTTCACGTAATACACATTAAAAAGGGACGGGATTTCAATCACGCAGGACCAGCTGCCATCTTGACTACAGCACATGATGTGTTTGTGTGAACTGATGATGCCCTCACTGAAGTCTGCTCTTGTTGTAGAAAACTATGAAGCATTAATACCAAGCAATGCATTCAGCTTCTGGATGACCCCATCTGTGGGACATTTGGCGCTAGCATTTCTCCAAGGTTCCTTTGCATTCAGTGGGTGGAATTTCTTAAATTACGTGACAGAAGAACTGGTTGATCCACGCAGGTAAGTGTTCCTGTGCACTTTGGCCAAGGTTTGGAGAGAGATCAAGCTGTTGTCCTACAGCCCCACTGGATCACAGTGATCAGTTTTCTTATTGCTTGAGAAAAGAAGATGATACCAATAGGAAGAGAGAGAGAAGAGGTAGACAAAATGGGAAGACTTAGAACAGGAGTGTCCAACCTTGGCAACATGACTGGCTGGGGAATTCTGGGAGTTGAAGTCCACAGTTCTTAAAGTTGCCAAGGTTGGACATCCCTGGCTTAGAAGAATAGTTGGATAGGAAATTGCACTGCTCAGAAAAGCCTAGGCAAATGTTCAGCATCTGAGTTTTCAATCTTCATTGTACTTAATGAGATTAGCACCTTAAAACTGCCCAATTTTCAAGCTTCTAGGGCAGGGCTCCCCAAACTTGGCAACTTTAAGACTTGCGGACTTCAACATTCTGGGAGTTGAAATCCACAAGTCTTAAAGTTGTCAAGTTTGGAGACCTCTGTTCTAGGGAATATGATCAACCATGGTAAAATGTTTACTGATTTTAGCCAGCCATTAAGCTACATTAGCAGCATTAGAAAGAAGAGATAGAAATGGTTCTATAAGAAGGCCAATCTGTGCTGTGGCTATTCACCTTTTTTTGCATGTACATGCATGGATGTGATTTGGCCTAACATTCACGCAATTTACTGTTGCATACATTTCATTCACATTCTACCTAATTTGCCTGTTGACCATAGTCCATGTCCATGTTGGGTTTTGCTTCTTGGGCCTTGGTTCTCAATGCTTATCAAATCCCCCGCCCTCATTTTTGTTTTGGAAATTAGGAATCTACCCCGTGCCATATTTATCTCCATTCCCCTGGTGACTTTTGTATACACCTTCACCAATATTGCATATTTCACGGCCATGTCACCCCAAGAACTCCTGTCTTCCAATGCTGTGGCGGTCGTAAGTAAAATATACCCCGGAATTTGACTTTGCATTTGGGATTCATTGAAATGATTCATTTTTGCTTTCTGTTTGGTGCGTTGCAATTTATGTTTCGTTTCCATCCCCCCTCCTGCCTTTTGTTGCTTTAGACATTTGGTGAGAAGTTACTGGGCTATTTTTCCTGGGTTATGCCAGTGTCTGTGGCATTGTCTACATTTGGAGGAATAAATGGATACCTTTTTACCTCCTCAAGGTTAGATAAAGTACGATTTATTTATTTATTTGCTTATTTTTCATGAGCACTTTTTAAACATTTCTTTACTTTGGGAAGAGAAACATCATTGCTTTCTTAGTGGGAATGTTCTGGTGTGTTTCATGCTAAACAACATTTTGGGACATGGCGCTCTTAATATACTTAGCTGGCCATGCAAGTTGCAAGGAGTCTCCGTGGAGCTAATTCTGCAGTTAAGATGTTAGGACAATATGAATGTAAGATCGGATGTGCTGTCCTGATAGGGGGATGCCAAAGGTTTTGAGCCATTTTAGAAAGAAATTTGACAAATTTATGGCGGATAAGATTGTCATCAGCAAGTAATCATCACAGTGTAAGCAGGCTGAGAATCTCTATATATTTAGTATCAGAGATAATATATATTACCAGTTGGCTGTAACTGGGTTAATATGATCAGGACAGTGGTCCTGTTTGTGTGAACTGTTCCTGCCTTTCAGAGCAAAATCTTGGGGGCAACTGTTGGATCAGCATGTTTGATTAGTCCCAAAGATGCTTTTTCAAGAGGCAGCTGGACTTTCTGGTTTTTATTTGAAGACGTTTTGCTTCTCATCCAGGAAGCTTCTTTAACTCTGGCTGGATGGTGGGGAATGGAAGGATTTATACTCCTTGCAGACAGCTGGTCATTTTGCATTCTTTAAGAGAGTTGTTGAGTCCACTTTGAGGTTTGAAGGTGTCCTCAGGGTCACCTGAGTAGTGCAAATGGGCGTGGAAGTTCCCATTTATCGGAGGACACAAATAAATCTCCAAGTGGCCTCAACGACCCTCTAAAAGGATGCAAATGACCAGCTGTCTGCAAGGAGTATAAATCCCTCCATTCCCCACCATCTAGTCAGAGCTGAAGAAGCTTCTTGGATGAGAAGCGAAACTTCTTCAAAGAAAAAACAGAAAGTCCAGCTGCCTCTTGAAAAAGCCCCTTCGGGACTGAGAATCTCCATAGATATGTTTAATTAGATGTTAGTTTTATTTGGATCCGTTTCTTTTGAAAACACTTAGTGTCACAGTCAGAATATTAATCTTATGGGCATCCAGATCAGGCCATGTGCATCATATCATGTCACCAATTATGTGGGTTTTACTGTATGTCAATCGCGTGATGTGACATCATTGTGGTTTTTAATCGATGCCCATGATTGTACATTCAAATCCCATTCATTCTTGGGGAGCTTGAATTTTGGACTAACCATTCTCAGTAGATATTGTATCAGGGAGTTTGTGAAGACAGGGGAAGGCATCCAGGAATTCAACAACTTGGGAGAAATGTCCCATAATTGAGAAGCATCTAGAGACCATTGATTTTCCTTCTCCTCCTAACTCACCCCAATGTTTTAAAGTATATGAAGCCAACATCTATGTTCTCCTCTTCCACTTTATCCATGAAACAGTGGAGTGGCCATCCAAAGCTGAAATCCATCACACCTGGAAAGTACCAGAATGTGGGAAGACAATGTCTCTCTAAACAGAACACTGGAGGTGTGAAATACCTATTGTTGTCACTTGCCACTCTTAAGTAACAAACTGAATCTTTTTCCCCCCCCCCCAAGTGTTAAATATTCCTCATTGGGTTTCTGTATCTTCCGCCATCAGAAGAAAGTTAAACTGTGTGTTTGCTGAAAGGGGTTAAAATAAAACAAGCTTAGGAGAATGTTTTTCTTCTCTTTTTTTTAGGCTGTGTTTTGCTGGTGCCCGAGAAGGTCATTTACCAAGTCTTCTGGCCATGATCCATGTCAAAAATTGCACTCCAATCCCTGCTCTCGTTATTTGCGTAGGTGTTTCTATTCCTGTAGAATTGATTGACATAGCTAATCGGAAAGACTCTTGGTTTAATTGAATACCAATCAAATCCATTTTGTAAAATCAGCCACGGTAAAAATAAAATGTACTTGTATTACTCAAGTGCAGCCAAAATCACTAGATAGAATGAAGAGACGGATTCAGGTGGCAGATGTTGGAAGCTGAGTGATCCTGAAGAAGCCATGAAAAGAATGAAAGAGAGCGTGAACACAAACCATCGTGAAATAGCGTTATGACTCCATTGGCAGCTAATCTTACAAACAGCCATTTGTTATTGTATGCTGCTCACGGTTTGGTTTCTTTTATTAATTTCATTATCAAGATATAAAATACAAAAGAAAGTGAAACCAGTTGGGAAAATTGAGAAGAGGGAGGGGAAGAGAAAGAAGTGTAGGTTAAAGCGGGGGAAGAGAAAAGAAAAACATTGACTTCCAATTCTTTTTAGCAAAATAGAATAAGTAATAACATTACAGCCTCAACTTTTTACTTTCCCTTTCATCTGCTATGCATCCTCTCTCTCTCTCTCTCTCCTCTCCTCTCCTCTCCTCTCCCTCCCTCTCTTTTCATCTGTAGGGTCTCCTTAGACTGTCCTAGCTATAGCTCTGTCATCCTTGCAATAGCTTAAGCCAGGGGTTTCCAACCTTGGCAACTTTTAAGACTTGTGGACTTCAACTCCTAGAATTTTCCAGCCAGCCACATGTGGACTTCAACTCCCAGAATCCCCCAGCCACGTGTGGCTGGCTGGGGAATTCTGGGAGTTGAAGTCCACAAGTCCCAAGATTGGAAACCCCTGGCTTAAGCTATTTGAATGGGAGAGCTTCTTCGTGTCTCTTGATCCTTGTATCATGTGCCCACTCTTCCTTTGAAGTCTGCATTTTTAACCTGGGGAAGGTTTTGCCTTTGTTTCTTCCAGAAATTCTCAATTTAAAGAATACACCCCTTCCTTTTTCTCTCCCCCACCCACCAGTGCCTGTCTACTGCGGTCATCATGCTGGTTGGAGACACCTACACGTTAATTAACTACGTGTCCTTCATCAACTACCTCTGCTATGGAGTGACAATAATAGGCCTGCTTGTGCTACGGTGGAAACAGCCTCAGATCTTCAGACCCATCAAGGTGAAAAATAGTGGGGCAGTCTGATGTTTCTCCCGCTCTTTGGCCTCTGCAGGTTGTCCTTGACTTACAAACATTCATTTAGCAACCGTTTGAAATTAAAATGGCATTCCAAAAAGTGACTTGCAACCAGTCATGTTTATAACCCCCACTTGTTAAACAGCTTGGAGGCTCTGATGTCAAATTACTCCACCTTTACCTGCCAGATCGTTAGGTACACCCATGAATTAAGAAAAGATAGAGATGAGCTTACGTTCCTGATCCTGGTGAGCTTTTAAACAATCAGGACTACAGTCTCCATGATCTCCAGATCTACATAATGCCCATGGTCATGTTGGTCAAGGATACCAATCTGGGGTGGTGTCATCCAGAAGTGTGGCATTGTGTGATGACCCGGGGCATGACACAAAAATAACAAAGTCACAAAAGTAGAATAAATTCCCTTTAATGCCTCCAACTTGGCCCCAATGTTCAATTATCCTTGGCTGGATAACAAACTCTTCAAAAAACAGTCTACAAAGGGCAGAAATGCAGTCCGAACCCAAAGTAAAGATAATTAGAAATTAAAAAAACCAACACAAACCACACTGAAGTAATTAACACGGCAGGCCAGGATGATAAATTGCAGAGGATAACGCAGCACCCAGAGTTGGGAGGACGCCAAAACCCAGATAAGGCTTGACCAAGATAATGCACGCTTTGCTTCCAGCAAGGAGCCGTGTGCAAACGCCCCACTTATATCCTGTTCTCCCAACTGCAACCAATGAAAGGGATCAGGGCCTTCTTCTCTCTCGCAAGCTACATTGCTCCCTTCTCCGTTCCTCCCTGCATGCCCTAGGATGAAGAGAGGATGGCCCTGGATCTTTCTCTGAATCCCAGCCGGACTGTGCCCTTCTCCCATTTCCTCCACAGCCACTGGAGCCACACTCACACTCCCTGTCATCTGCTCAATCTCCCCCTCAGAATCAGACTCCAACAAGGGCATGACACATTGGGATTAGCCAAGGCAGAAGCTCCTGGTGATCTATCTGAGCGATGATCCAATGTTGTCTATCAGCACAAAGGGAATTGGGGCAGAAACAACAAGTCTCTGTACCCTTCCAATATTTTCTTTCCTCTTAGGTAAACCTCCTGGTTCCAATCACTTACCTGATCTTTTGGGCCTTTCTCTTAATCTTCAGTTTTTATTCTGAGCCAGTGGTCTGTGGCATTGGACTGATTATCATCTTAACTGGAGTGCCAGTGTTTTTTCTTGGCGTATACTGGCAAAACAAACCAAAGTGTGTAAATAGAATAACAGGTAAGAAACAAAAAAGAAAACAGCCTTGGAGGCAGCATCGAGTATATCTATTGATTACAAAATAATCCATTCATTAACTCAAGATTGGTTGCCAAGTACTTCCTTATGTGACTTACACTATTACGGATGTACAGAAATCTGCCTTAGACAAGGTTAGAAAGACCCATCTCATTACCTGGCTATCCTAATCAGAGAAGTTTCTAAATTGATGAACAACCTACTTATTTAGACTTATGGGCCTTCAAAGTTCATGTTCACGTTTGTGTCAACATCTGTCCAAAAGCTAGTGGAAAAGAGAGAGAGGTCTCCATTTCTTGCATAATCCAGATGAATCTGGGAAAAACAAAATGCTGGATTAAAATTTGGGCCAGGCCCAAATGTCTAATCTTACATTCCAGCCATGGGACTGGACTCTTGGATCTTCTGTATGCAAAGCAGATGTTGAAAAGGAGGACTAGGGTTGATAAGATAGCAGTGTTCCAATATTTGAAGGGCTGCCACACAGAAGAGGTGGCCAATCTATTCTCCAAAGCACCAGAAGGCAGGACAAGAAGCAATGGATGGGAATCTAATCAAGGACAGATCCATCCTAGAACTAAGAAGAAATTTCTTGACAGTAAGAACAATTAATCAGTGGAACACTCTGCTCCCCAAAGTTGTGGATCCTCCAACACTGGAGGTTTTTAAGAAGAGATTGGATAGCCATTTGTCTGAAATGGTATAAGGTCTTCCTGCTTGGGCAGGGGGTTGGACTAGAACAGTGGTCGCCAACCAGTGGGCCGGGGACCACGAGAAAATTTGGGTGGTCCACAGAGAAACATCACCCCCAAAGCAATTAATCCAGGCTGAGCGGGAACACAAGGCTGCGCTGCCCACAGGGCCCACGGGAACACAAGGCTTGCATCGCTTGCATTGCGAACAAACACCATCAGAAATGATGTTTTGGGACCCTGTAAGGCATTCTGCTCCAAGAGGCTGCACTGGCAAAGACTCATTTCTGGCAGAGTTTGGGGGAGAGAAAGAAAGACTTCTGCTGTTTCTGCTGCTTTCCTTGCATGAAGCCAAAAGTCTCTCTCTCTCTCTCTCTCTCCCTCTCCCTGAGAACAGAGCTGGAGACGGGATCCTGTGATCCCAAATAAAGAATGATCGATCGGTAGGAAAACGGGGTGGGGAATTTTCCTGCAGACTTTTTGGGGGATTTTCCCAGGGTCTCTGGTTCGCGGGATTTAAAATTATGAGTTTGGTGGTCCTTGAGGTCCAAAAGGTTGGTGACCCCTGGACTAGAAGACCGCCAAGGTCCCTCCCAACTGGTATGTTCTTATTCTTCCGTTGAGTTCAAATGCCTTCCCAGTTAATAATGCCCACTCTAGTCTCAAAACTAGCATAACCTAACTCTTTGATCTTTTTTTCAGAATCTTTAACCCACTGGGGCCAGAAGATCTGTTTTGTTGTCTATCCTCAGAAGGGACCTCCTGAAGACGATCTACCTTTCACCGATTATCCCTCTCAAGAAGTCAAAAGACCTTAAAAAAAACAATGATACTTTTTACAGAATAAGTAGATTTTGTTTACATTATGGCATATTTTTTTTGGACTGGGGAAAGGAAAGAACCTTGATTTGGTTTTTTGTTTTTTTAAAAAAAAATTTTTTAAGAAATGAGGACCGTCATTTGGACAACTCTAGGAGACGCCCTAAAAGTGTTTAGCTCTTTATCCTGAAAAGGACAAAAATAAAAGTAAAATGAGGCTAGTGGGTTTTTTTTTTCACGGCGCATTTTACATGTAAGTTGAAATGGCCAGGTATAAAAAAATATTGCTACCAGCCACCTGTTATGAAAGACAGCAAAGCTTTTGTGAAGTTTCTGCAAATTCCCCAAAGGAGGAACTCTCCTCTGGCTCTTCTCTGGAAATCGAACACATCTTTAAGGAAACACCATGGCTGGTTATTACGGTCCTTTATTCAGTACTTCGGTAGTTCTCAGCCTTTTTTTTTTTTTTTTTCACCATGGACCCCCTTTAAATACCTTTTGTGGCCACAAACCACCAAGACTCACAATTAACTCACAATTTAAGCCATAACATTTCTTCAACCCTTCGTGGACCCCGTGATGACATTGTGCCCCCACCCGGGGTCTGCAGACAACAGGTTGAGAATCACTGCAGCAGGGGTGGGATGATCCCAGCAACCGGTTCGCTGCCTGGTTGCTGGGTAGGCTTGGCCTACCGGAACTTTCGGTGGGGCCATTTTCCCCCTTCCCGAGGGTCCAGAGGCTTCCCTTGGGCCTCTGGGAGAGCGAAAACAGCCTCCACCTGAGCTCTGGAGGCCTTCCGGAATTTGGAAATAGGCCCGTTTCTGGACTTCCGGAAGACCCATTTCCCCCCCTCCCAGAGCCCATCGAAAATGGGCCACGTGGAGACTCCTGGGAGGGACTGGGGGTGGGTGGGCAGAGCCAGCCGGTCAGTTCAAATACCGCTTTGGGTGAACCAGATGCAAATTTAACATCCAGTTCGCTCAAACCGGTCCGAACCGGTAGAATACCATCCCGGCACTGCAGTACTTTTCGCCACAATAGTACCTGTGAGAGGAATCTTGGAGTCCTAGTGGATAATCATTTAAATATGAGCCAGGAGAGTGTGCTGCAGCTGCCCAAAAAGCCAACACAGTTCTAGGCTGCATAAACAGAAGAATAGAATTAAGATCACACGAAGTGTTAATACAGCACAAAGTACCGCTTTAAACTGCAGTCATGAGCTCACACTTGGAGACTGCACTGCCATCTGTCAGAAATGGTGCAGGGTCTCCTGCTTTGGGGGGGGGGGTTGGACTAGATGACCTACAAGGTCCCTTCCAACTCTGTTCATCTGTTAATATTGTGTCCAATTGTGAGCATCATGATTTTTTTTTTAAAGTAGGAAGAGTGCAGAGAAGAGCTGCTAAGATGATGAGGGGGCTGGAGGCTAAATCATAGGATGAATGGTTGCAGGAACTGGGTATGGCTAAGTCTAACAAAGAGAAGGATTACACAATTGTCCTCTTGCCAGCTTCTGGCAATTTTTAAATTACCATAATCAATCATCATTACATAATAGGCCCCTGTCATCATGCAAAATCGTACAATCTATCCAGTACCTGAAAAACATGGCTAAACCGTTTCTCCTTTTGTGTAGTTAAGAATTTTCTCCATCTCTTTACGTTCAAAATTACGTTTGAAGATCCCTGGGCGTTGCATCCAAGGTTTTTAAACGCAGTATACTCTACTGAAGCCTCCAATTTTGTCTCTTGGGTAGGAAGGCAGAAGTGACAGTTTGGTCCATTGGTGCATGAAAAAGCACACATTTCCAAGATTAACCTAACCCAATTTATAGAACCAAGAGTTTGGCCATTCTTTAAAGACCAACATTCCTGCATTTGCTGAGTTTTTTTTTCTCCAACAAACACCAGGAAAACCTCCTAAGACAGTTGACAGAACTCAAATGCAAAACTAGAAATGGTCAACATTTTAAGTTGGCCTCTTCTCCCAAAAACAGAGATGAGGGGGGATGTAAGATACAAGACTAAAACAGCGAAATTGAAAAATGGAAGCATCATACCCAACATTAGGAGTGTCAATGAATGTGAATATCTGATCCAACCCACTATCTCAAAAAGTTGGCTTGTTATTACAGTGGCTTAGCAGCTAATAAAAATAATATTCTTCTGTTTATGTACCAGACAGAACCGCTCACAGTCTTGGGCATTTCTTGATTTTTATCACGAAAGGAACAAACAAGCGAGTTGGTGAAGATTTATTATTATTATTTTTTTAAGAAATAAAAGAAGTGCAGCTCCAAGGGCTTGTTTTTCCCATCACATATTTTACCCAGTGTAGATCAATGTTATAAACTGGCAATAATTGGGTTTTTCATTTAAGCAGTCCCGGGAATAACAGCGCAGGCTCTGTGCTAGCTTGGTCAGCCAGCCGTGTCTCGTACAGCTTCTGACTGGGATGTAGAAAAAGCTCGCATTTCTAGAAGCAGAGGGAACCAATTTTACAGACAGGTACCAACAAAAAGAGAGCTAATTCACAGCAGTGGTTTCATACATTGCATCCATGTATCCAGGGGACCAAAGGCAGATGAACTGGGTTGGGTTGGGATTACTTCTGTGAATCTGCGGAGGGAATCGCTCTGAACCCCTCTAGCCTCTTCCCTGGAGAACAGGTTGCAGATTGGAAAGTCAAGGGACAAGAAAGTGATCACCACGGGGGTAATAATGAAAATAATAATGGAAGAATTGCAGCAACTGTCAGAAGCAGTGAGGCTATTAGCCTTGATGGCAGTGGGGACACCTCTGAAGACCATCTGCTAGGACATTAGTGGACTTTCCTGGGCAGTTGTGCTGGTCATTGTGACCATAGCCTGCTCAACTAGATGGACTAGGGGGACCAAGCCAAGAAGTCATTGCTTACATTCTGCTGATGTAGATCAGGGATCTCCAACCTTGGCAACTTTAAGACTTGTGGACGTCAACTCCCAGAATTCCTCATCAATTCTGGGACTTGATGTCCACAAGTCTTAAAGTTGCCAAGGTTGGAGACCTCTGATCAAGAAAGAAGACAGACATCACTACTACCGTAAGTGACCTCTTTCTTTACAACAAGAAACACGTCAACGTGGGCCGCGTATGGTTTCTCTTTACCCATGGATAGAATTACTCATTCGAGGGTTCAAACCCAGCCTTACATTCAAGCAACCAAAGTGCCAAAGGACCTCGGTAAACTTTGAACATGTCCACTCTTTAGACACAAATATGCAGTAAAATCATCAAGAGGAGCGCAGGTGGGATTGTCAAGCTTCCAGCTCTAATATTTAAAGCTGACCTTCCTCCATGGCTTAAGCAAGGTCTATTGAATAAACCACAACTGACTTAGATTCATACATGATCCTCCCATCAAAATCAAAGCCTTGGTCTCAACCGCTTTCTCACAGCACATGAAGCCACCCAGGCAGCGTCAAACCCAGAAGTGGTATTCCACAGGTTCTGACCAGTTCTGGAGAACCAGTAGCGGAAATTTTGAGTAGTTTGGAGAACCGGCCAATCCCGCCTCTGACTGGCTCCACCAATCCCATCTCTTCTCTGCCTCCCATTGAGTCCTAGCTGATCGGCTGGGTCTTCTTTGGTTGGCCCTGCACAGGAGAACGGAGCTGGAAAGCAGGTTAGTGGGGTGGGGAGGGAATGGGGATTTTGCAGTACCCTTCCCCTGCCACGCCCACCAAGCCACGCCCACAGAACCGGTAGTAAAAAATTTTGAATCCCACCACCGGTCAAACCCATCAGGAAGTCCAGACCAGGAATCAACTCCATGGCAACGCTAAAACTATTTTCATTGAGATTGGCTGTAATTATGGAATCTCGCAAATCTGGACTTCCCCCTCCCCTTTCTTATACCCAGGAGAATTAGGGAAGCGTCTGAGCCGCTTCTGCATTTCTCCCTGCTTGTTTTGGACTTAATCCGTGCTTCTCTCCTCCCGTTGCTTTGGTAACGGATCCAGTCTACCTCTGTCAAGGTCACCCTCCTTGCTTTTTAGAGTCAGGCAACCATTGCATCTATCCTCTCTCTCCATGAAAGAGGGGAAGAGAGAAAGAGAGGCTGTGAACGGTCTTTCTCCCCCGGCTGTCTATAAGCTATTCTCCGTGCAGACAGACATGCTGTAAAGCAGGGGTGTCCAACCTTGGCAAGCTTTGCTGGCTGAGGAATTCTGGGAGTTGAAGTCCACAAGTCTTAAAGTTGCCAAGGTTGGACACCCCTGCTGTAAAGAGAGAGGCAAAGGAGACTTGGGGGCAGGGCTGGGCTGCTGGGGGCTGGCAGGGGGTCGGGAGAGCCCCTCGCTAAGATCCCCACTCCTGGCTGGCCCCACTCCTGGCTGGTGTAGGCAGAGGGTGGGGTGTCCTACTGCGGCAGGCACATGGGGGAGCTAAGCGAGGTAAGGCGCCCCGTAGTGTCATTGCACCTAGGACGTGGATTATGGGACCTGTGCCATTTGCCCACAGCTGTGGCACACGCGAGCTCAGGATTGACCTTCTGCCTTGCGAACATGACCCTTCAGCACACCAACAAAGACTCGTCATCACTGGGACTCCTTTCGGGGACTGGGAGTGGGCAGGCGGCTATTGGCACTTCCATGGAATGGCAACAAGGAGGGTGAATGCCAAAAGGTTCTTCGTGGCACGAGTGTGGGTCACCATTGGGCGGCTGCTCCCCCCGAAGAGGGAGGGCGGCTCTGTAGGTTTCAGGGTACCTGGACTCCCAGTTTTTTAAGGGCCTTGGGTGAGGCAGTTCTTCCCTCAGTAGCTGAGAATGTCTGCCGTCTCCAGCTGTCCTGCCATGTGACCTGGTGAATTGGTGAATTTCTGTCACTCTTTCCAGCAAAGGATCCCTAAATGTTCTCCCTGAATCTGCCTTGCCGGCTTGTGTGAGTTGTCCCTCGGGGGCATCTTCAGCCACACGGCTGTGCTGGCCCTCAGCGTCCGGCAGAGCCACCGGGCAAGGACTTGGCACACTCTCGGCAGACGGGACTTCCGCTGCTTCGGCCTCCAAGGCCGAGGGGCTGTTGCCAGGTTCAGAAACCCCTCCAGATGGGCCACAAGCCTCTTCCGGAGAGGCCCGGAGACTCTCCACAGGTGTACCGTCTGCGCGGTTCAGGATCCCGTCCCCCAGAACCGTCTGGGAGGTGCGCGTAGGATGCAAGAGGGGAACCTGGCCTCTCGCTCGCGGCCTGTGAAAGAATCTGTTCCAGAGTCTGCCCAAACGTTGGCGGGAAGAGCTGCGCCTCGAGGAATGGCGCCTCATTTGCCGCCTCATGGCCGTTCGGATGTTCTGCAGCACGGAAGCCTGCAAAGATATATATATATATAAATTTTTTAAAAAATCAACTATTTCTCCTGGTGAGTTTCATCCAAACTCTAATTCTGATTCAACTGGAAATAAGGAGAAATTTCCTGACAGGGAGAGCAATCAACCCATGGAACAGAAGTTGCCTTCGGAAGTTGTGGGAGCTTCCTCACTGGAAGCTTTCAAGAAGAGATTGGAGAACCATTTGTCAGAAATGGGCGGTGGGGTTGTACTAGATGACCCACCAAGTCTCTTCCAACTCTGTTGATCTGTTAATCAAAGGCTTTGCAAACATCTACATCTTACAGGTAGGCAGTATTTCAGTATTTGAGAGACCGCTGCAAAGAAGAAGGAGTCAAATTATTCTCCGCAGGACCAGAAGGCAAGACAAGAAACAATGGATGGAAACTAATCAACGAGAGAGAAACAACCTGGAATTGAGGAGAAACTTCCTAACAGTGAGGCCAATTAAGCGGTGGAACAACTGGCCTTCAGACATTGTAGGTCCGTGATGGCGAACCTATGGCATGCATGCCACAAGTGGCACGCAGAGCCATTTGTGCTGGCACGCGAGCCACAGGCAAACTAACTCACTGCGCATGCATGCGCCTCACAGCTGATTTTTTTGGGGGAAGGGTGTGTGGTTTGAGTCCTTTTTGGGGGGAAGGGTGTGTGGTTTGAGCCTCTGCAAGGCTTCTCAGGTGAAATTATAGGCCCGTTTGGTCATTTCCTGTAATACCGGAAGTGACGAAACGGGCCTATAATTCGGCTTGAAAAGCCTTGCAGGGGCTTTTTCCAAGCCTCTGGGAGGCCGAAAAAGGCCTCAAACCAGCTGAAAAATCAGCTGTGAGGCGCAGTGCAGGTAAGGGGGGTGGAGGGTAATTGTATGTGCATGCGGAGAGGGTGTGGGGAGGGGCGCGCGCAATGCATTCTGGGTGCTGGCATATGAGTGTGGGCAATGTGGGCGCGCTGGTGCACATGCAGTTTTTGGCACAAGAGCCCCAAAAGGTTAGCCACCACTGTTGTAGGTGCTCCATCACTGGAGGTTTTTAAGAAAAGACTGGACAACCACTTGTCTAACATGGTATAGGTTCTCCTGCTTGAGCAGGTGGCTGGACTAGAAGACCTCCAACATCCCTTTATTCTATTTTCTATTCTATTTTCCTGTTCTGTTCTGTTCTGTTCTGTTCCGTTCCGTTCCGTTCCGTTCCGTTCCGTTCCATTCCATTCCATTCCATTCCAATTCCAATTCCAATTCTATTCAAGGCCTTACCTGAGATGCATTATAAACAGGGAAATCTTCCACGGGTGGAATGAGTCCTTGTGCGATCAGCTGCCCGTAAGAAGGAGGAGCTTCACGCCTTACGAACTCCGCCTCCAGGCGAGTCATCTGGGTTTCAAATGCCCTGGAAACGGGATCAAAGGAAGAAATGAGGGACAGAAGAGAGAAATTGACCAGGTAACATCACTGCGGACAGATGGGTCGCTTCCTGCTTCTTTCCATCGACAGGAAGTCCTTGACTTACAACTATTTTGCTTAGTGAGCATTTAAAGTTACAAGGTCACTTTAAAAGGTGGCTTACGACTGGTCCTCACCCTTATGATGGCCACTGCATTCCCACAACAGTCACATGATCAAAATTCAGGCAACAGGCATGTATTTGCAATGCTTGTAGCATCCCAGGGTCACATGATCGCATGGCCTGGGTCCAGTTTACTTGAGGGACCTTTTTGTCCCACTGGGATTAGCTGGTACCGCTCGTGCCGGCAGAGAAGGTGTGCTATGGCCACGATTATTCCGCCGGGTGGGGTCAAGGAGGAGTGACTTCTCTGCTGTGGCTCCAGCCTGTTGGAAACATCTTGCCCGCTGACCTGAGGTTCGTCCCAACTCTCCCTATCTTTTCCTAAGGGTCTAAAGACGTAGCCATGCCAGTCGCCCTGGAGTCCCAGTGGGGGAACAGAGCAATGGAGGTGGTTGTTTGTTCCAGAGGTGGTATTCCACAGGTTCTGACCAGTTCTGGAGAAACGGTAGCGGAAATGTTGAGTAAGTCGGAGAACCAGCAAATGCCACCTCTGACTGACCCCGCCCCCATCTATTCTCTGCCTCCCGAGTCCCAGCTGATCGGCTGGGTCTTCTTTGGTTGCCCTGCACAGGAGAACGGAGCTGGAAAGCAGGTTAGAGGAGCGGGGAGGAAATGGGGATTTTGCAGCATCCTTCCCCTGCCACTCCCACCAAGCCACGCCCAAGGAACCGGTAGTAGAAAAAAATCTTGAATCCCATCACTGGATTGTTCCCTCTCTCTGGAACCTCATTCCCTGTCAAGGTGATAATTTAAGAGCTGATCGGCTGATGCAATGATGGGAATGAGTCAGAAGGTCTTTGTCTGTTATCCCTTTAAGAGCCTGAGTTATAAGAGGAGGCCCTGCTAGAGTGTTTGTTGGTCCCTCGAGTTTCTTCCCTGTTGTAATTGCAGACACTGTTTGTAGCACGTGTATCAGAGGTGGCATTCAGCAGGTTCTGACCAGTTCTGGAAAGCCTGTAGCAGAAATTTTGAATAGTTCTGACTGGAGATTGTACAGTATCCTTCCCCTGCCCCGCCCACCAAGCCACCCCCACAGAACCGGTAGTAAAAAAAATTGAATCCCACCAGTGATGTGTATGCATAGTATCCCTATATTCCTATTGTAGATAAAAACCGCTATTTGATACAGACCATTGTTGGCTGTACTTGCTCCTGGGCTGATACACGTGATAGACCTTTGCAAACTCTTGACACCCCACCCTCAGAGATTAGAAAGGTCCACACCCTAATACTCTTCTGGAAGTTGCTGAAGACCTGGTTCTGCCAGTGGGCCTGAGGAACCCAGAGCAGGATGGAGCCCATTAAAGGGCTCGTGTGATATGTTGTCGTTGGAGCGGAGGGTGTGTGTGCTATTTTATTATGTTATTTTATTCATTTGCTATTCTTTTATTAGTTTTATTGTGTTTTATATTGTTTTTTATTTTATATGTATGTATATATGAGAGAGAGAGAGAGGGAGGGAGGGAGGGAGGGAGCCTGGACTGTCCATCAGCCCTCAGATGGAGAGTCAATAGCTCCCAGGTCCGGAGGTGGCTGATGAGGAAGAGGAGGAACAGCTGGGTCCAGTCCTGACGTGCAGATGCACAGAAGGCAGAGGAGAGGAGAGCAGTGGAAATCTATGGGCTGGTCCTTGGGATAAAAGAGCCACTGCTGCTAGCGAAGCCCGACCCTAGCTCTGGGGATAAAAGGCAGGGGACGGAGATGAATAGATGTGGTAGATAACTATTCATCTTCCGGCTGGAGGGATTTGTTAGCCTGCAGTGAGAGGTTTGAGTTCACTTCACAGGGTTTGTCATGTTTGAAGAGCTGGGTCAGAACACAGTCCCAACAGCATCCTCGTCTCCTCACCGGTATTCCCTGCTCCTCAGAGAGTAGAGCTTGAAGGCACAACCCAAGGCGATCACCAACAGCAGCCCACAGACCAGGCTCCCGATCAGAGCAGCTGTGATGACCTTCCGCGGCACGATCACCAAGCAGTTGTGCTCGTCGCTGCCATCCTGGCAATCCTCCTGGCCATCACAACGCCAGGTCTCAAAAATGCAGAGGTTGGTGCCGCAGTGGAAGTTCCCCGGCTGGCACACAAAACAGTTCTTCTCATCTGACCCGTTGGGGCAGTTCTTCTGGTTGTTGCACCGGTCGAGCAAGGAGTAGCACAGCCCGCTGTTCCCCTCGCAGGGGTACTCGTTCTTCTGACAGGCGGGGCAGTTCTCCTCGTCCTTGCCGTTGGCGCAGTGCCACCACCCATCACAGTGCTGCTTATCGGAGTAACACTCCTCATCATCCCCGCACGGGTGCTCCCAGGGGAGGCAATACCCTTTGACTTGATAGGTTGCGTTGAACCCGTGACCGGTGCTTTTCGACCAGGCGTAGTACAAGATGGTCATCTGCCCCTTGGAGGACTCCAGGCTGACCGTGTGCTTGTTATTCCGATACGAGAGCGTCTCGATCAGCCTGTCGGCTTTCTCCTCTAAGCCATCGTACACCTTCACGTAATCCTTGTAGCCCAGCTGCAAACTGAGCTGCAGAAGAACGTGGCGGTTATCTTGCGTGTCCACCTGCCACGTGCAACAGAGGTCGGCCCGACTCCGGTCCAGGCGGAACAAATCCGGCGAGGCAAATGACCCGTAGAAATTGCTCAGTTTCTTGCCGCAAGAGAGATCGGGGCAATTTTCTTCGTCGGAGCCGTCGCTGCAGTCTTTCACGGTGTTGCATTTCAGCTCGTTCAGCAAGCACTTGATGGAATGGGCAATGTTGCACTGGAACGTCCCCGAAGGACAGAGGTTGGATTGGGGCTCCGTCGGGGGGAGGCTGCAGTTTTTCTCGTCCGAGTTATCCCCACATTCGTCCATGGAGTTGCACTTCCAAGTGATGGGGATGCATTTGCCATTGAGACAGTGGAATTCGTCTGGTTGGCAGCTGGCTTGGCCAACCTTTCCTGCGAAGACAGGGAGAGGAGTTAAAAACTTCTACTGCAAGCATTAGTGATTTATGTCGGTGTTAGATTTTTATCCTGCCTTTCTTACTTTGTAAGTAACTTAAGGCAGCATCTAATACTCTTTCCTCCTTCTCTTTTTCCTACAGCAAACCTGTGAAGTGGTTGGGCTGACTGGCCCAAAGTCACCCTGATGGCTTTCATGCCCAAAGCAGGACTAGAACTCCCAGCCTCCTGGAGATTGCCACAAACTCACCCTGATGGCTTTCATGCCCAAAGCGGGACTAGAACTCCCAGTCTCCTGGCTATTGGCCCAAAGTCACCCAGTCGGCTTTCATGAATAAACTGGGATTAGAGCTATAGAGTATATGGATTATATGAAGTTTGGAGTGACCTCTGGTTGCTATCCTGATATTAAAGATAACGTTTCACTGAACTAAGTGCTACTTGATAGACACATCTAGGCAGGTTTCTTGCCAACAAAACCAAGTTTACTGTTGCCTTCTTTCATTTTTTTAAAAAACTTCCACAACTAAACTATAGCTCAATATTGTCTGGTGGTCTCTCCACTAGCAGTATCCTTGGGAAGAGACAAACGAGGGTCAGACTCACCAAACAGCAACATAACACAACACAACACTGAAATTCTATCTTGGCAAACACAACCTTCTGCTCCCAAGCAAAATATTCTCCCCACAGTTCTGTCTCTTAAACTGGGCAACGTTCTACTCATAAATCACTTTACAGTTTTCTCCTACAGGACCTCACCCGCAGGACTTAACAAAAGGCATGAGAGAAGACAGGAGTCACGATTCCAACAGTTATTCCCATTTAAATCATGAGTCTCGAGCCAAACTTCCAAAACTTAAAAAGGACTTATTGGGAGTTAACATGTCCGGCACTGCCTGGGTGTAGCCGACTCTGAGACACATCATTCATTGTCACCCTTGACCCTGGTTTTCTCCCACCCCCTGGGTGTATCGTAATTCATAGTCTCCAATGGGACACATCCATAGCCAAGAGTCATCAATCATGCTCTCCAGTTAGAATTTTGCAGGGCAGAAACTTCAGTCACCTAGTTACTATCTTTGAAAAACATTTATGGAATGCAGTTTCGATTTTGCAAGCTGCTGCACTGCTCCCCGCTCCCTTTCTGTTGGCAACTCTAGAAAGACCATAGAAATATTTTATGAGTTGACAACAGGAGTATGGCTGGATTCACACAACACATTAAGCCATGGTCAGTCGATATTGTTTGTTGCACAAAAACGATAGGTGGAATTCATATAGCGGAGCACGCCATAAAATGTAGTTGGCAAACCTTCCTGGCTACCTATATTCATACAACATGCTGAGCCAAAATCAAGACACATGCACATTGTGGTGTGAACTAGGTCACAGTGAAAATTGTGTTGGACGTGGACCCGAGAGATGTGAGTTTATTTCTGATTTACTCTTAAGGCCTGTTAGCTTATTCCAGTTCGTTGTCCTCTCTTCATCGGAAAGCCACCCCAGTATCCTTGCAAGAATGAAATGGAATTAATTTATCACACAGACATGATATCCAGAAATGGAATGAAGCAAAAGAGCAGATTTTACCTCGAATGTAAGAAAGGCGAAATCCCTGAGCCTGCGCTGAACTTGATGGATCTGAGTGGAAAAAAATCCAGATGTGGTCCCTGGCAGAGATGAACGAAGGAGGGATAAAAGATCCACACACTTTGTACTCCTCCCCTTTGGAAGAAGGACCCATCATCAACCAGTCTATGGAGCATTTGGGAGAGTCCTCCACATCAAAGTTCTTAAAACTACCAAGACAAAAAGATGGAGAGAAAAAAAGAAGAAGAAGATGACATACAAATGAAGGGAAGGCAACCTGGTTCACATCTTGCATTCCATCAGAGATTGGTGACCTTTGGGAGGGATGGCACTTGGCCTCCTGACCTTCTCAAGAACTTCAGAAATGTATGTTTTGTTGTTATTTTTGGGCACGGGAAGGAGGATCCTGCCAGGATCCTGTCGTAAGTATGGGGACCAGTTGTAAGGCATTTTTTCAGCATCATTGTAACTTTGAATGATGATTAAGCAAATGGTCGTAAGTCAAGGACTACCTGTATTTGAGAGAGAGAAAGAGAGAGAGAGAGAGAGAGAAGATAGATGGATGGATGGATGGATGGATGGATGGATGGATGGATGGATGGATGATGGATTATGGATCATAGATGATAGATATACATACATACATACAGATAGATAGATGATAGATAAATTGATTGAAAGAGACAGAAGATAGATAGAAGATAGATAGATAGATAGATAGATAGATAGATAGATAGATAGACATATACATATACATATAGATAGATAATAGATAGATAGATTTAGAGAAAGATAGATATAGTTAGAAAAGATGGATAGAAAAATAGAGATAGATAAACAGACAGACAGACAGACAGATGATAGATAGATGAGATAGATAGATAGATAGATAGATAGATAGATAGATAGATAGATAGATAGATGGATGGATGGATGGATGGATGGATGGATGGATGGATGGATGGATGGATGATAGCTAATGGATGGAGGGATGATAGATGATAGATATACATATACAGACAGGCAGACAGACAGATAGAAAAAGAGATATATGATAGATAATTTGTTAATATCTAAATAATTTTGTCATTATTATTTTTACGTGATTCAGGCAGAGTGATTCTGACAGCTTGTAACAAAGCCACAATGACTAATCGGCAAAAGCATTTTTATAAGCTGTAGCTTAAGAGCTACAAACAAGATTCCTTTTGTTAGTGTAACTGAAGGTAGAGTGAAATGTTAATTCATTAGACCAGGTGGAGGGGAAGGATCTCCATTACTCTTGAGTGTGCATTACATCACATATGACATCATTCACATCAATTATATCAATGGTAGCAATAGCCAAATGGCACAAACAGATCCGACTGAGGTATATCATTTGCATAATGACATATGTGTCATTACTCAATGATGTAAATTGCTGACATAATTACACTTCCAGATTATTTTGGTGGGATGTCTGTAAAATCTGGAGTCTGTTGAATTGAGGTGTCACCGCTGTGTAACAATGTCTGTAGTTCTTTCAACAAAAAGTTTGTTTAATCAAATGCATTCTTATTTGTATACATTCCAATATAAAATATTGAATCCTGCATTACTGTTTTGGCCATCTCGGGTCAAACTATTTACTGGCTAGGGTAGTCCCAACACACTAAAGTGGGCTACAAAAGGTTGTGTACTTTGTGGCTCAGGCTGCTGTGTGAACTCTGCCTCCATCTTAAGTCAGAATTTTGTTGACTTCTTTAAGCACAGCCAATCGCATGAACACAACCGTTCTATTTAGGGTTGAGGATACCCTAGGAATATTCTGGGCCCTACAGCATACGATATGGTACAGCAGCAAAGGACTACCTCTACCATACAGTACAGGTAGCCCTTAACTTAGAACCATTTGTTTAATGACCGTTCAAAGTTACAACGGCACTGCAAAAAGTGACTTATGACCGTTTTGCACATTTACGACCATTGCTGCATCCGGTCAAGTGATCAAAATGGACAACTGGCATGCATTTATGACAACTGCAGGATCCTGGGATCACGTGATCCCTTTTTGCGACCTTCTGACAAACCAAGTCAATGGGGAAGCCAGATTCACTTAAGACCGTGTTAGTAGACAGTTGCAGTGAGTCACTTAACAACTGTGGCCACAAAGCTCATCAAATGGGCAAGATTCACTACTGTCTCCCTTAGCAACTGAAATTTGGGGCTCACATTGTAAGTCGTAAGTCGAGGACTACCTGTAAACGCAACCAGGTCAATCAAGCCATGCTTAAAGCAGACCATGGCTTAGTGCAATGTGTGAGCATGGTCCCTGCCGCACACTCGCCCTAACTTTGATCATGTAGTCCATCCGAAGCTAAAACCATGTTTTAACTCCAGGAAAAGCCCTATAGAACAGTGGTCGCCAACCAGTGGGCCGGGAACCACTGGTGGTCTGCGAGAAAATTTGGGTGGTCCGCAGAGAAATGTCACCCCCAAAGCAATTAATCCAGGCTGCGCGGGAACACAAGGCTGTGCCACCCACATGGCCCGTGGGAACACAAGGCTTGCGTCACTTGCATTGGGAACAACATGAGGTAGTGAGGGGAGGGGGGAAAGGGGAGAGGGGGGGAACTTGCCCCACACGCCTGGCCTGGCCACCGGGCTGCTTCTTTCCGCTTCTTTCTTCTTCTGCTTTTGGCTGTATGCAAGGAAAGCTGCAAAAGTCTTTCTTTCTCTCCCCCAAACTCCGCCAGAAATGAGTCTTTGGGACCCTGAAAGGCATCCTGCTCCAAGACGCTGCGCTGGCACGACAAGTCTCACAAAGACTCATTTCTGGCAGAGTTTGGGGAACATAAAGAAAGACTTCTGCTGCTTCTGCTGCTTTCCTTGCATGAAACCAAAAGTCTCTCTCTCTCTTTTCCCCTGAGAACGGAGCTGGAGACGGTATCTTGCGATCCCAAATAAAGAATAATTGATCGGTAGGAAAACGGGGTGGGGAATTTTCCTGCAGACTTTTCTTGGGATTTTCCCAGGGTCTCTGGTCCACGAGATTTAAAATTATGAGTTTGGTTGGTCCCTGAGATCCAAAAGTTTGGCAACCCCTGCAATAGAAGACACCTCCGTCACAGGTGAGCCTCAACCACACCTGAAACTCAACAAGGACTTTTTTTTTAAAAAAAAAATCATACAACTCACCTAATCGTGATGACATCGCCACGATCTCCTTGGATGTACCAGCTGCAGTTCATGGCCGGGAGATAGTTGAGTGGCCAGGAAGGGCTGTAAATGACCCCTCGCCGTTCTGTATGCTGCTCTGGTTTTCCACTACAAGCGGCTGTCGGAGGTAGCACCAGAAACAGAAGGTTAGAACTCCACAGCATTTTTCACCTTTCAGAGAAAAACACCCTCAGGTTGATCTTTGCCTTATCAATTCCTCTTCCTTCTACTTTACTAAACTCTTCGCTCACCTGGCTAAAAAGCCCCGGAACTGGCTTTTTTTCCTAGCAGAGGATCAATACCCTAAATAGGCCTGCCAAAAGGAAAGGATTTTTTCTTTTTCTTTTTTTTGCACAAAGCGAGCCAAAGAAATAAACATGATGTGCAAAACCGGTTAAGAAATCTCCTCATGGTCAGGTGGAATTCAGAAGCAAAGCTAAGTACCATTAAAAGAAAAAAGAAAAGAGATCAGCTGATTCAGAGAAGCGATTGATTTTTTTTTTTAATTATTTTCTCCTAAACCAAAACACATTTTACTTTCCAAAATTAGTTTTAGAGGCAGGGGAAAGTTCTAAATTTGTTGTCCTGGTGTTGTTTCTGGACCCCAGAGATAGTAACAAGATGCTATTGACCATCTATCTGATGAGCAAATGATTAAGGAAGCCATTCAGGGAACATCTCAAGCATCCTCTTTTGATCCATGCTTTTACGCGATACGTTTTCACGTATTTTGAAAGGGCCCATCTTTTTCCTCACATGATACTTATCCGGGCTGATGAGTCCCCAAGGAGATGATGAAACTTACATTATAATGAAAAGGAAATTTATCTTACCTAAGGAAGGGACCGCACTCTCAATTTTCCCAGTCAGGAAGAGATTCACTGTTTTGAAAATCCAAAAAAACACAAATTAGATGTTACAATGGTGGCATTTATGGTAAGATATTGATCAAAAACATACCTATATCAGATATGTTTAGAAAGTGTTGCTTACAAGGCAGCCTGGGCTTAACTTTTCACGATGTCTGAAGTAAAAGAACGATGAATAAAATAATGAGGCATATACCGGCAAAATTTTATGAAGTGGGAAGTCTGATGAGGAAAAAATAGGATTTTGGCTGGCTGAAGAATTCTGGGAGCCGAAATCCACCAGTCTTAAAGTTGCCAAGTTTGAAAAACCCCTGATCTATACCAAGGAGGTGTTAACCACGATGAAGTATGATTTGCTTAATTGTAGTCTGTATAAGCTATGGGTGGCTCAGTGGCTAAGACGCTGAGCTTGTCGATCAGAAAGGTCAGCAGTTCGGCGGTTCGAATCCCTAGCACCGTGTAACGGAGTGAGCTCTCGTTACTTGTCCCAGCTTCTACCAACCTAGCAGTTCAAAAGCAGGTAAAAAAAATGCAAGTAGAAAAATAGGGACCCCTTTTGGTGGGAAGGTAACAGCATTCTGTGCGCCTTCGACGTTGAGTCATGCCAGCCACATGGCCATGGAGACGTCTTTGGACAGCTCTGGCTCTTCGGCTTTGTAACGGAGATGAGCACTGCACCCTAGAGCCGGAAACGACTAGCAGGTATGCGTGAGGGGAACCTGTACTTTTATCTTTTATAAACTACAGTTAACTCCCGTGTTATGACATGTTATACCAGTATTTTTCAAACTTGGCAACTTTAAGATGGGTGAATGTTCTCTTCCACCCTGGCGCCTGTTGCATCTCCATGCCCCCTGCAAACTTGGTGACTTTTAAACCCTGCTTTTCTCTCTCTGACTTCCCCAACCTTTTCAGACACTTCCCAGCACCTCCCAGGTTTGGTCTTCTCCAAGCGCCTTCTGGTCCTTTCCTGCTAACACTTTAGCTCCTTGGTGGCCCAGCGGGTCGTTGTAATACAAGGTGTAAAACTGAGATTTCAACGCATTGTGCAAACCAGTCTAATGCAATTTATTCAAAAGTCCCTGCCTATGCAAACCGCAGCTTAGCAGGGAGGCATGTGCAACATCACAAACACAGCTCCAGAAGACTCACACGTAGGCAGTCAGTACAAGCTGCAATGACAACATGTCACCATGTTTGTCCTTTGATTTCGTTTACGGATTTGATGAGTCCTGACTCCAAATGGCTCCAGGCAGCTCAGAGCAGGGGTCTCCAACCTTGGCAACTTTAAGATTGGCGGACTTCAACTCCCCGAAATCTGGGGGTTGAACTCTGCCAGGCTTAACGTTGCCAAGGTTGGAGACCCCTGCATCCCAGAATATCATGACACCATAACAGGAAACAACCAGCAACCAAGCCAACACAACAAAGAAAAAGAAAGCAAGAGAACCTGGAAGTTGGAAGACTTTTTAAGTGCAGAGAAGAGCAACAACAAAAGATTAGGGGAAGCTAAAACAATGACACAGGAATTGGGAATGTCTAGTCTAGTGAAAAAAGGGATGACATGATAGCAGTCTTCCAATATTTGAGGGACTGTCCCAAAGAGGAGGAGGGTCAACCTATTTTCCAAAACACCAAAAGAGAAGAGGAGAAACCATGGATGGAAACTAATCAAGGAGAGAAACAACAGTTAGAACAATTAATCAGTGGAACAACTTGCCTCCAGAATTTGTAATTCTCCAACAATGGAAGTTTTTAAAAAGATAACCATTCGTCTGAAGTGGTGTAGGGTTTCCTGCCTAGGCAGGGGGTGGGGCTAGAAGACCTCCAAGGTCCCTCCAACTCTGTTATTGTTCTGTTATTGTAATCTCACATCCAGAGGAGGGGGCTCCAACCATGCTAGCCCAAGTAGCCCGTGACTTGGGAGAGAAAAAATATATTTGCAATGAGAACAGGCTGGGAGCGTCCAAATCTCAGCAGGAGCCTTACTCCCCTAGGTAAAGGAAAAACACTTTCTTAAAACACTCCATTCTAAGTGCCCAGGGTGCTTTTTCAAAAGGCAACTGGACTTTCTGGTTTTTCTTTGAAGGTATTTCGCTTCTCATCCAAGAAGCTTCTTCAGCTCTGAAGGTTTTTTTTAGAATTTAGAATTCTTTCTTGGCCAAGTGTGATTGGACACACAAGGAATTTGCCTTGGTGCAAATGCTCTCAATGTATATAAAAGAAAAGATACATTCTTGAGTTGATAATAGTCATAGGGTACAATAAGCAATCAAATCATACTAGGAAACAGTCAATATAGATCGTTAGCAGGGGTGGGATTCTACCAGTTTGCACCTATTCGCTAGAACCGGTTGTTAACTTTCTAAGCAGTTCGGAGAACCGGTTGTTAGAAAAAATTACTGGCCTAATCCTGTAAGGAAGGCAGGAAGGAAACATTCTGGTGTTGCTTACAGAAACTGCCTCTCCGTTAACCTTATTACATTCTTGGCAGGACTAGACTTCCTGTCTCAGGAATGGAGTTTTTTTTCTCCCTCCTTTGCTGGTACTTTGCTTGTATGGAGTGACCATTCAAAGTTACAATGGCACTGAAAAAAATGACTTAGGACCATTTTTCACACTTATGACTGTTGCAGCATCCCCACAGTCATGAGAGGCCAGGCGAGGAGATGTGTGCCTCGATGTGAGTGATGTTGAGTTGGCCACACCCAGCCAGTCACATGACCACCAAGCCATGCCCACCAGTCACATGACTACAAAGCCATGCCCACCACCAAAGCCACGCCCACAGAACCGGTTGTTAAAAAAATTGAATCCCACCCCTGATCGTTAGGATACAAGTGACAAAGTTACAGTCATACAGTCACAAGTGGGAAGGGATGGGCGATAAGGAGTGATGAGAAGATTAATAGTAATAGTAGTGCAGACTTTGTAAATAGTTGGACAGTGTTGAGGGAATTATTTGTTTAGCAGAGTGATGGCATTGGGGGAAAAACTGTTCTTGTGTCTAGTCTAGTAGCTTCTTGGATGAGAAGCAAAACGCCTTCAAAGAAAAACCAGAAAGTCCAGTTGCCTCTTGAAAAAGCACCTTTGGAACAACCCTGACCTGAATGACTCAGAATCTCCATAGAGTCCCAACCTAGACAGGCTGTTTAAACAGGTCTTCTCGAAGAAGCTACAACTGGCTTGCTCCGCTGAATAGGCCAGCGAAAGCCAAACAGACCCCTTTTTTAATCTCTGCAGAATGCTCGATGTGACCTGAAAAGGCCTTTAAAATTCAGCCTTGGTGCCGATAGCCTAGAGCACTGGCACCTTTCATTAAAACTACATCACAGTATTCCCAAAGACTCTGGCTTTTTATGTTATTTCTATTTATAGAATAGCATTCCTGTTGATGGCAGAAAGGAGAAAATAGACCTGGGGGAGGGGAAGAGGGGGAGGCAGCTGCTTACATCCCTGGGGTTTTTTTTTTCCACTCAATGTTTATCCACCAAAACTAGAAATCTGTACATTTATACATCCTCACTTTCAATTCCCTCCAGCTCCTGGCTCCAAATTGTATCTCGTATCAATGACTTCCACTGATCTTAGATCAGGAGCTTAAAGACTCTAGGCTGATTACCAACTTGACTCTGCCATCCCAGGCTCAGCCTGTCCTTCTACTACAACTATGGACCTCTGGGGATCCACAAAGCCAAATCAACAAATATTTTTAAATGTCTCAGTTTTAATTTCTAATGCAGCAAATGCTGATAGATACAATTCCTATCCAACAATGTTCTTTGAGGTCCTCGGTTATTCTTAAGGATATAAAAGGGTCCTGAAACCAAAATATTTGTGGACCACTGCCCCTAAATTAAGCATAAACGGCAAGGCTTATATATATATATATTTCCATTTGTCCGCACACAAGGTAATCAACACTAATGACATTATCTAGTTTGGTAATGAAATGTCTGAAAGAAAACCACTAAGCTCAGACAGCATCAAGGACCTGATTATCAACACTGTATTATACAAGAGCACACAACAGATACAAACTCAATGTTAACCGCTCCAAACTGGATTGCAGAAAGCACAACTTCAGCACCAGAGTGGTCAATGCCTAGAATGCACTACCTGACTCTGTTGTCACCTGCTCAAACCCCCACCCCTTTAACCTCAAACTATCTGCTACTGAACTCACCCCATTCCTAAGAGGTCTGTTAGGGGCGTGCATAAGTGCACCATCGTGCCTACCATCCCTGTCCTATTGTCCCTATTTATTCGTACCTATTTCCTGTATTCTTATTCATGTTTATACTTATACCTATTGTCTTGAAAGCAACTGACAAATCAGATAAATAAAATAAAATAAATAAATATTTGGGGAAGTGTTCGCCCACAAGACAAACTTACAAAGCAGTCTGTCAAATTAACTCTTCTTATTCACACTTACCAAGAAGTAAACCTATAGATTTCATCCACATTAATGCATCTTCATCTTAGAGGAATTATTTAGTTTTTTTTTTTAAGTGCCTTCTCTTTACAAGTGCATCATTGATAACTAATACGTAATTAATCAAAATCTGAGGCTGCTAACGCTATGCAGACTGTCTCTCTCCATTTCTCTCCATAATGTCTCTCTATCAAAACTCCTGGAAAAATGAAGAAGTGTTACTGCAACTGGCAGGAGAGAAGACAGGAAGTGGAGCACACAGGAAACAATGCAAAGAATAAAACAACCAATATGGTAAAGGACATCATATCCTGATATTACTCAACTGCCATCCACCCTTGATATTGCTATAATAGTTCGCATCCACAGTCTCTTACATCTTCTAAAGATGAGCAGGTACAAATTAAAAAGAGGGAGCTAGTTAAATGTTCAGACAACCTTGCCATAAAGCCTATGAAGATAACATTGCAAGCTTTTCTGAAATCGGTATCAGACCAAATAGGCTACTATATAAAATAAATATACCTCAATAGCAAGTTCCAGAATTTTTTAATTGAGCAGAGACATTAAAGGGATGCCAAAAGAACAGGTTAGCACAAAGAGTCATAATTATAAGGACCGGAAAGTTATTGCTATGTTCCGGCTTATGCCGTGAAATTTTGCAGACTATTTGACTTCCCGGGCCAGGAAATTATTAGATTCCTTTTCTATCCTACGACAAGAGTCACAACTTAATGTTTGCCTTACAGTCCAGATTGATGCAGCTGTTTAGAAATGAGCCTGAGTGAACTAAATGGGCTTCCCAGGTAAGCTTATAACCGACTTTATAGTTGCATTATTATCTCGTAATGGCTTTTATAAGTGCATTTCCTGCCTTTGAGCTAACTAAAAATCTATTCTAAAATGTGGTTCTTCATTTTTTTTAAAAGAAAGATTGCTTTTTCTATGTATTATTCATATCTGGACATTTTCAATGGATTGCATTAATAAAAGTGTTGTGTTTTTTTTTAAATGTCCCGAACGCGATAGAATTTCTATGATGTCATCAGCAACAAATCAAGCCCTCCCTAACCCAAACTGCCCAAACTTGTTGCAAAATGGAATCGTGGCTTCTTGCCTTCCTCCCTCTTGCCTACCAACTTAGCCAAAGCCGCTCCAGAGAGAGAGAGAGAGAAAACCAACTCCACCTCCCTCCACGCACCCCACCTTAAAAACCACAGGCCCCACTCCGACTGCGGAACTTACACCAACCCCTGGTGTGGCAGCTGGAACCATCACCCCCGCCTTCACTCCAGCAAACAAAGCTGATGTCACTTCGATCCCGCAGTGCCCTTGCACGAGGAAAAACACGCGTGCTCGCCTGCTGAAGACTGCAGCCATGCACGACTCCCGCTCTCCCCACTCGGGACCAGCCAACAGCGCAAAACCCTATCCAGGTGAACCTGCGCAAAAGCGTAAAAACGCTTTTCCTTTCCAAGGTGCATCTTCATTTGAGTGGATCCTAGACTCCCCGGTGTGTGCGTGTGTGTGTATGGGGGGGGGGGGGGATTGTGTGACCTTAGGAGTCCCCTAGGTTGTCCCGCGGGGCGTCTGCGGCTCTCCCCGCGCAGGAAGCGCTCCCAGGCGCCCAGATCGAGCGGACCCGGGTGGGAAAGTGCGCGCAAGGACTCCAGACGCCTCCTTCGCCCGGCTTCCTGCGGGTCCCACGACTAGATACCCCTACCTGTCCAACCTGGGGGGGGGGCTGATCTCCACCTGCCCTACACCTGGGGTTCCTCTATCTTCTCCTCCCGCCCCCACCCGGGGCACCTGGAAGACCTCCTCCCCAAAGATCCAGGGTCCGAATTCCGCGTCGGATCGGGCTGGCCTCGACTCACCCAAGCAGAGCGCAGCCAGCGGTCCCAGCGCGCCCGGGGACCGCGGCTCTGCAGACGCCGCTTCCATGGCGGGCCGCTCTCCGCGCTGCGCCTCGGCCGCCCGAGCGGGCGAGGATCACAGCGTCGCGGGCAAGCGGGGAGCAGCATCCCGTCCGGGCTCCATGGCCCTCGCCTCGCCTCGCTTCGCCCGCTGGCGACGGCTGAGCTGGGAGGCCGCCGCCGCCGCCGCCGCCGCGATCTGAGACCCAGCCCCGCGTGACGCGACGGCTCGGAGGGGCAGGTCGACAGTAGGCAAATCGCCCGGCGGGCCGCCGCCTCCTCCTCCTCGCCCGGCTCCGCCCCGCGCTTCCCCTGCCCGGCCGCCGCGTCTCCGCGCACCCCGGGGCGCTGGAAGAGGATGCTTGCGAGCCTTGCAAGAGGCGCAGCGCTGCAAAGAAAAAGGCAGGCAGGCAGGCGTGCGTTCCCCGGAGGATGATGACACGCGTGCCTCTGAGCATGCACCGAGTTTCTTGCCGCGTCCCCCGGGGCTACCTGCCGGAGCAGAAGTTGGGGGTGGAGAATCCGCGGCCCCGCCGCAGGGAAAGAGCGAGAGGGACGAGCGGGGTGCTTCTCACGGGGGAAGAGAAGCTGGCGAAGACCACGCGCGATGCGCTTTCGCCGTGGCTGGGTCGTTGATTCCTCTCGGCTTCTGTTCTCGGGATGCTTTTGGGAACGGTGAGAGTCTCTGGGCATGCACAGAGTTCGCCCAAAGGGAGAGTAAGGCAAAACCTTTGGGGGCTGACAAGCAGGGGGGGATTGACTGACCACATCTGGAAATGAGTCTAATGAGAATAGGATAGAATAGAATAGAATAGAATAGAATAGAATAGAATAGAATAGAATAGAAATTAGGATAGGATTGGATAGGAATTAGAACAGAATGGAATGGAATAGAATAGAATAACAATAGGATAGGATAGGATAGGAATTAGAATAGAATAGAATAGAATAGAATAGAATAGAATAGAATAGAATAGAATAGAATAGAATAGAATAGAATAGAATAGAACAGAATAGAAGAATAGGAATTAGGATAGGATAGGATAGGAATTAGAATGGAATGGAATAAAATAGAATAGAATAAGAATAGGATAGGAATGGGATGGGATAGGATAGGTTAGGATAGGATAGAAATTAGGATAGGTATAGGGGTAGGAATTAGGATAGAATAGGAATAGGGTAGGGTAGAGTAGAGTAGAACAGAACAGAACAGAATAGAATTTATTGTCACTTTGAATGTACGCTAATCAGCATACATTAAAATGAAATGTTGTTGCATTCAGGTCTCAAAGGGTCTCCACCTCAGATTCTCAGTCATCCCCCTTTTTCAGGAGGCAACTAGACTTTTTTTGGGGGGGGGGTTGCAGACGTTTCATTTCTCATCCAAGGCGCTTCTTCAGCTCCAACCCATCATCTAGTCATCCAGGCCCTGAAAAAAGGCGACTTATGACTGTTTTTCAAACATCCGTTTGCAGAACTCCCCATGGTCACATGATTAAACATCGGACAACTGACTCATATTTGCAATGGTCTCCCTGTCCCAAAGTCATGCGATCCCCTTTTAGCAACCTTCTGACAAGCAGAATGGGGAAGCCAGATCCATTTACAAACCTTGTCACTGGTTTAGCAACCGCAGGGATTCACTTCACTGTGGCAAGAAGGGTTGTAAAATGGGGTCAAAATTCACTGAATCGCCGTCTCACTTAGCAACAGAAATGTGGGGCTCAATTATTAAGTTGAGGACCGCCTGCATTTCATAACTTGCTGGCCAGGCCTTATGGGAACTGTAATTCATTGAATTTTTTTTTTTTAAAAAAATTCCCAATTTAGGATGGAAATTTTTGCCAGGCCACGGTGCTTAGGGAATTCCTGCCCAAATTTCCTAAGAGATTTTATTTGAAGGATATTCTTTCGGCTTTAAGGAAGCCAAACTTTCTCAACAGGACTCCAAAAAGAAGGAAGCAAGACTGCAGAACAACAGACTGCAAGAAACACTTTTAAGGATTACAATAATTCACCAGACCCTTCCCTGAAATCTACACATTTCCCCATTTAAAGAGCCAATTTGCAATGTTGTTATGCCCCTGTGACTCTAAAATCATTGCTGTCTACATTTCGAGAGCGGCGAGCTTTAAATTACACTCCGTAACTGGAGTGATAGAAATCCCTCGTAAAATACAGAATTTTCCCCCATTTATTAATTCAGTAATTTTCTTTATTTATTTATTTGTCCTTTTTTTTAAAAAAAAAAACATTTTTCTCAAAGGAGGCCTTAATTTTCTGCTAGAAAAAAGCCAAGCCAACTATTCCGGTCCCTTCGTTGATGGATTGCAGCTGAATCTTTATTGTGCTGCTCAATTATTTACAAGGCAAAAAAGGTTTATAACCTGATCCTCTTCCCCACAGCGTGCTCTGCTGAAGTTCATGTAAGGTCAGCTGCAAAGGATTCAGCAAGATTGCTTTGCAGGAATCCTTTTTAAGACCTATCAGATCTACCCTCTTACTTCCCATAACGGGGAGGAGGTTGAAACTGGGGGATTTGAATAAACGAAGCATGAGTTTGATGTCCTGTCTCAAGATCAACTATTACAGGTAGTCCTCAACTTAACAGCCACTATGGAGCCCCAAATGTATGTTGCTAAGTGAGACATTGGTTAAATGAGCTTTGCCCCGTTTTACGACTTTTCTGGCCATGCTTGTTAAGTGAGTCACTGCAGTTCTTAAATTAGGAACACGATTGCTGTGTAAATCTGGCTTCCCCATTGCTTGTCAGACAGTCGCAAAAAGGGAACACATGATGACACTGCAACTGTCAAAAATGTGAGTCTGTGATGACCCAAAGGGGCATGGCACAAAGGCAACACAGTCAGATAATCACTAGGAGTCCCTTTATTAGCTCCAACTTTGCCCTCAATGTCCTGGTTACCTTCTGGGCTGAAGAAAAACTGTCCCAGGAACAGCCTTTGGGTGAAGAGAATCAAGTCCAAAAGATGGTCAACAAAAACTGTAACTATAAGTCCAATCAAGGCAAAATGAAGTAATTAGTCCAGCAGGACAAAAGCAAGAATTCCAGATGTGAAGGCACGGCAATAACGCAACACGGTTGGGAAGATGCTAGGAACACGGATAAGCAAAGTCAACACAAGATAAACTCACGTTTGCTCCCAGCAGCTGCCGCACTCAGCATGTGTTTCTTTTAAACTCTCATTCCCAGCTGTGGCTAATGAAGGGAATCAGGGCCCTTTCCTCCCCCGTAAGCCACGCAACCCACGTTGCTCTCTTCTCCATTCCTACCTGCGTGCCCTGGGATGAAGAGGGGGTGGGCCTGGGTCTTCTTCTGAACTCCCTCACCCTTATTCTACCTCTCCCCTGCTCTGCCCAGTCGGACTTTGCCCTTCCACAGTTTCATCCACAGTCAACAGAGCTACACTCCCACTCCCTGTCAGCTGTTTGTCTTCCTCCTTGGATGCAGACCCCGACAGGGGCATGACAGAGTCAGTTGTCAGGCATCTGAATGCAAATCACATGAACCCTGGGGATGCTGCAATGGGGGGATAAGTGTGAAAAATTGATCATATGTCACTTTTTTCAGTGCCGTTATAAATCCGAACGGTCACTAAAATGAACTGTTGTAAATTGAGGACTACCTGTGTGTGATTGTGTGGTCCTACAACTTCAAGCACTGTGCACTGTCGCTCTTGATTCATCATTCCATAATATCTTGCAATGTCTTGCAGTGATTCCCATACGGGGCTCCGTTTGTGCACAGCACCTTTGCAGGTAAAAGACAGGTATATTTCATGGCTCAGTGTTATTCACATGTAACCTTGGGTGTACAGTATCCCTTTCAGCCACATAAGCAAGATGCACAGCTCTGCAGAATTGCTCCCTTCAAGCATGCTATATTCGTTTGCTTGGGAAAGCTCTTGTTAAAGGCTCTCCTAAAATCCAGTGAGAAAATGCTTAACAAGAGTTAGCCTTGTTTAGCTGATGGCAATGCCATAATCCTCGAAACCATTGCGAAGAGCACGGACACGTAGTTTTATCTGAGCATGTTCTTTATCCTCAGTACAAAATGAACAGTAGAAGACAACCAAAGACAACAAAGAAAGTTTGAGCAGTAAAACAGAAAAAGACAAATATTCTTTACCTTGCTCATTAGAGCCATATTTCAGTCTGTTTATTTATTCTAATTCTAATTCCAGTTTATGTCTCATTTATTGAATTTTTTTGTTCGTGGGATTCCCGAGTTACCTTTAAGACTTTTTCACAACCATCTTTTTTTCCCCCTTGCTTTTGATATTCCAGATGACAGCGGAACCAACGATAGCATAAATTTACTATTCCACATCAAAAAGACCGATCACTTCCATATATTATTTTTTTTCTCAGAGACTGATAAGTTTGCCATAAAATCTCCTATCTCGTGCCAAAATTTCAACTCGGAAGCCCTAAGTACTGAGTTGACTTTGGCATTTTTGTTTTGTTTGTAATCGCTCCATTTCAAATCCATTGGAGTGGCGGAAATTGTGGCATACTGGTATTTGCTTTATTATTGTACTGGAAAGTTATGTCATCTCAAATAGTTGTGTAGTAGGTCGGCAATTTTTAAAAGTGTGGCAACTTTAAGATGTGTGGATTTCATCTCCCAGAATCCCAGCAGCATGCAAGTTGGGAATTCTGGGAGCTGAACAGTGGTGGGATTCAAACTTTTTTACTACCGGTTCTGTGGTGGGCGTGGCATGGCTTGGTGGGCATGGCAGGGGAAGGATACTGTAAAATCCCCATTCCCACTTCACCCCACTTAACCTGCTTTCCAGCTCCGTTCTCCTGTGCAGGGCAACCAAAGAAGACCCAGCCAATCAGCTGGGACTCAATGAGAGGCAGAGCATAGATGGGGCGGGGCCAATCAGAGGTGGTATTTGCCGGTTCTCCAGACTACTCGAAATTTCCACTTCCGGTTCTCCAGAACTGGTCAGAACCTGCTGAATATCACCTCTGGAGCTGAACACCATACATCTTAAAGTT